GTAAAATAGAAAGCAATTCAAAATTGTCGAAAAAAGTCTACCAGGGGTGTAGCACGTGTCCCATATTTTGATATATATCCGATAATTTCAAAATAAATTTAATTTCATGTGTAGACATTGTAGATGTGAGAAGTCATTCCATACCTGGCATACACGAACATGACTGACAGCCGTCATGACCCTTTTCCCCTAAGGTGTATCTTGTGTGGCACGTTGCCATGCATAGCTTGGTCCCGGTGCAGGAAGAATGGTGTGTTGCTTGCACGAACTGCACGTTCGCTTGAAATAAATATTCCCAGTCAAAGTACATACAGTATACTCATTTGAATAAATATTAAATATATAAACATACATTGCATCAACTATATCGATCAGTAAATAAAGGTAAGGTGGACCTTAGCTGGTAGTTATAACAGGGTAGAGGTATTAAAAACGACATATTTTGCGATCGATCACTTTAATTTTATTTACATCAATATTACTTGATATATGTTTTCCTATTGGAATAATGTGGGTCAGTAGAAAATCAGATGTGAAGGTGCACTTACCTCAGGAAATAAAAGGTTGAGTCTAAATGAAAGAATATTTTATGTTCTGAATCCTGCCAAAACAAATACAAAGTCAAAGTAATGTTGAAACTGTTACATCCCCGTTACCTGTTGCATGTGAGACTGTATTGACAGTGTGTGACGTAGTGTGTGACGTGGAATGATGGGGACATGTGCACGAGCGGCAGCCATTGCTGCCAACTGCCCCAAGCGAATACTGTCCCTGACACGTAGTCATGCAGAGAAGAGTCCCTGAACATTCCTTCAATGGTTTCTCTTTCACTTCTTGATGTGTTGCTCCCTGAATAGAAACAGTTCTACAGTTATGATCTCGTTAAGTAAACTAGTTGAACAAGTAAAAGTTGTCACTGGTGTCTCATTGGTGTGACAGAAATGAATAGTTTTTGCATATTAACAGTTTTTCCTCGTGACTGTTTTTCTAATGTAACCATGGTGCTGTCTAACATTTTACTTGGAAAACCGTTATCAGAAAGGTTAAGCGTGCGGTAAAATGACTATGATATGGCGAAGTTATCAAAACTGCTAATTCGTCCTCAGTTCTTGTGTCTCAACTTTAATTGGGATCAAAACAGATAAAACTGCTACAATATGGAGACAAAGCTTATTACCACTTGTATAACTATAAGGTAGAATTGAAAATGTCTTTATTCATTTTTTGTCAAAATGTCCTTAATAGTACAACGTAGAGTATCCTTATGCATTAAAGAGTGAAATAAAAGTGTTCTTTATTTTTCTTATGAGCTCAAATTGTTTTTTTCAGTTAACGGACGTTTGTAAAACAGGGATAACCTCAATGTACCTGTATCGATCCGAATGGGCTACCTCCTGCTAAAGTGCCTGGCTGGAAGTTAGGGAATGACCCTCCCAATCCACCTCCTCCGCTAACCATACCTGTGTAAAACAAAACATTTATATAAAGAACAAACGATAAAATATTGAATGATATATCATGGAATCAATCCCTAAAAGGTGATATCTATGTGATTACCAGAAAAGATTGTAGGAAAGATACACGGGTTCATATATAACTTTATTGCTTATTTGTAATGTGGTACATGAAAGACAAATAATGAATCGGAAGCGACTGAGGATAATCACAGATACAACACCGAAAACAGAATTAGCTTAAGACAATAATGAAAGCTAAAATATGTATTGTGCACAGAAAAGACACATATTTATATAAAATAAGCAGAGTCAAACAATAAATTAAGCGGGATCATACAGCTGTTTTGTCCTTTTAAGACGTTTCATTGATACTGAAGGCCGAAATGGTACCATTTAAGGCCACTGAGGAAAATCCAATGTGATCAAATGAAATGCCAAAATCTAGATGGTGAGGTGCAGTAGTCGTTATTGTCATATATCTGAACGCCACGTGCGTATGTTTATTCTGAACTGTGTCATTGGGATAAACTACAGCGTACAGGATTACAGTCGAAAGATATTAATGAAAACAGTAAACACTTTTTCAAGGTAAAAAATTCTATAAGTATATAAAGGATACCTGTCATTCCATAGAAACCTCCGGGATGAAACATAACTGAAAAAGAAAGAAATAAAACTCTTCATAAACTGATCACAGATTCAAAAACAACTATTGTGGAAACAAAATGCAATTCGAAGATTCAAGAGAGAACAGTTTTACCAATATATATATAATTATAAATTATAAATAATGTTCACTTACGTTCTCCGCATGCGCATTCCTTGCATCCTCTCTCGTTTATCTTGACACAGCCAGGAATACAGTTTACTCGTTGGGGGCAAAACGAGTATCCGGCTAACATTAAAGAACATGTTATGGTTAAGGTTAGGACTTATCTTAATAACTTAATCGTATATACAGCATTGGCAAATTAATTATATGTTTAAAGAACACGATGAGTGAAATACAAAAGTCGCGTTTTTTTCTGTTTTATGAATAAGGGCAATTAATGCCAATGATGCATAGACTAACAAAAATATACATCATATATAATATACGAAGATTTTGTTTAATTTTAATGTAAAAAAAGCTGTTCCACACTAAACAAGATGATTAGATTATAATAAATATATAAAAAAGATTAAGAAATCAAATGTTTTATCAAATGATATGTTCGTATGCTGCTTTTCGTCTCAATAACTAAAAACGCATAAATGCTAACATTCATCATTACTATGAAATGACCTTAAACAACTTGTCATGGAAATATATATATAATGAAAAAAAATATCGTTTGATTATTGCAGCAAAAACAGATGAGGGTGCCGTTCTTTTTCAATTCGTGTGTCTTCGAACAATATTAGTGAGTATCTAACTAGTGGCGTAAAAGAATGTTAATGAGTTTCTTACCTGTGGCGTCGAACAATATTAATGAGTATTTACCTGTTTTGTTAAACAATATCAATAAGTATTTTATCTGTGGTGTTAAACAATATTAATGAGAATTTTATCTGTGGTGTTAAACAATATTAATGTGTATTTTACCTGCGGTGTTAAACAATATTAATGAGTATTTTATCTGTGGTGTTAAACAATATTAATGAGTATTTTACCTGTGGTTGTTACGGCTAAGGCTAGAATCCAGATGATCATTGTGCCTTATTAAGATTGAATGCAGTCTTATTTGTTGAAGTCGAGCTGTTCAATCCTTTAATCTGGTGAGTTATAATACCGAATAGGTGTCATGTAAAGGTGACGATGATCAATATAACACCTGGCCTTAGACCGAACAAGTTATCCGAATACCGATTAAGGTGCACGATTGTGTGATAATAATTACATATATTATGTCTTACACCTGGTTGAAATATTAGCAGGTGCCATCTTGTGATGTCTATGAATAAAAACTGATAACATATAGCATATAGACATGGATATACATAGTGAAAGTATCAGTTGTTATTTTGCATCTGTGTCAATGCTGTTAAAGACTACATTGAAGTATTCAGTTAACTAAGATTTTACGTTCTATGTGTTGTGTGCACTGCTGAAACCGATTTGCGTTCTATTGCAATAACAAGAACCACTTGTTTTGTTAAGGATTAATAACTTTGAAAAATTAAAGAAGTTTCCTTGTGATAATTGATTGCAATATTTCTTAACTTAGGGTGACCTGTTTTCTTTGATAATATCTTATTCCATCGCATGGGTCAGTCAAGCTTAACATTGCATAAAGACGGCACATTTTTATTGTGGGATATAGCATAGAACAAATAGCCCATTAAATGAGTGTTACACAAAAGATGAGATTATTTGTTATTACGGAATTAGGTAGTTAATCCGCGATTCAACTGCTGAATAACATTAAGGGTTATAATGTATAGTTTATATATCTGTGACGCCTAAAAATGTCTTGTCAACACCATGATTTTTTACTTTTTAGTGCCGTATCTTGTCTTTAAATAATACAAAAACAAAATAAAAACAAAAACAAAACAAAGGAACAAAATGAAAAATAAAATAAAAGAAAAATAAAAAAAATACCCTACACCCCCCCCCCCAAAAAAAAAAGAGAAGAAATTGATGATAAAGCAAAAAAATGGCATTTAAGAGGAGATAATAACACATCGGGAAACGTCTTGTTCACGTTTATGGATTCAAAATGTATTCCACACCGTTTTCAGTACATCACTAAAACTGTTTCACTATAAAGCTGAAATGGCATAGGCGTAATACCCAAAGACTCGGAAATAAGACGCTGTATATTTTTCATATAAAGTAAATACAGTGTTGTTTATGTGGGAAACTGCAGGATTATTAAAAATAGGCTTATATTTGGAGTTGGGATGTGTTTCAGTTCAGTGAAGGAGAAGACGCTTACTCTTTCGGAACATTTCGTCATTTTCATCTTTTTATTTTACCTGAGTATCCATGTAAATAGTTTATTTTGTCCGTATTCTGCATTAGTTTTATATTATATTATATTCACCTGTTTGTATATTCCTGTCGTATTGTTTAACACGTTTCCTTGCTTTTGTTCAGGAATTTGCCTGTAAATGAACTTTGATGATATTTTGATATTTTGCTCTCGTTCTTTTTTTTTTTTTTTTTTTTTTGAATAAAAATTCATTTAAAACATTGATTCCATACTTATTGTTATTATTTAATCAGTTCCTCTTTATGTTGATTAACAATAAAAGCAAACAGACAATAATCGTTTAACGCCTTTTGATTTTGCACGTAATTTATTTTGAACTTCATCTTTCTTTCCGAGTTCCTGCAATAGAAAATAATGAAATGATATTGAGAGAAAAGGATTCATGAAGCGTGAATTGCTCAAAGTGAATATTGTCCAGAAGCCGTTTAGGTCGTTAAGTTTTTATCGACAGTTCTGAATGCATGAAACAGTAAAAACAATGTTTGATTTACAAGTTTTTTAGTAACGTTTTATTTTGGACAGGTTTGATTCGCTTGTGTAAGCATCTGAAACTTTATCTAAACTATTATCGTGTATCCGCGAATATTTGGGAAGATCTGTTGACAGACATTTCAGTGAGAGATTGTTTATACGTATCTATGAAAGACAACATGACCCAAACTTATATACATAACTGAATTAGTAATCGTTTATAAAAAAACTTTAAGCTATCGTTTGTTGTTTCCTCTACCTTTCAATGCGAAGATATTGTTCTACTAGCAATTTGCAAGATTCATTCATGATCAATAAAGTGGAAAAACAAAATGTCAATTCATTTTAAATTTTTGATTCAAAGTTTAGATTAATGAGAAATGTATAAGAAAATTAACAATGATAATGATAGATACATACAGGGTATCCCTGTCGGAAGCGGCTCACATTCACAAAGTGGACATCCGTTAGCGTCGGATTTGTAACCAGTAAAACAATCCTTGAAACATGAGAATATTCCTGGGCACGCTATTGTTGTCATGGTAGTGGAGGGTGCAAGGGTTGATGTCGGCGCATGCGTAGGAGGGTGAGGTGTCGTCTGAACAACAGGAAGTACCACCTGTAAGTATAAAGATTACGGGAAAAATAATATGATTGTCCATTTTAATTATATACAACAGGAAAGAGAAGTGTATAACATTTTGATTCCGTTTCGAATTTGAATATGTGTCACACTTCATGTTCTTGACGAATAAATGAATGAAAATGAATAAATAGCAACCTAACAGGAATATTGAGACAATTTCAACACAGCTTTGTTTATAACACTTTGTTTCAATAGTATTTTGTAACCTAACAGGAACATTGAGACAATGTCAACACAGCTTTGTGTGTAACACTTTGTTCCAATAGTATTTTGTAACCGAACAGGAACATTGAGACAATGTCAACACAGCTTTGTGTATAACACTTTGTTCCAATAGTATTTTGTAACCTAACAGGAACATTGAGACAATTTCAACACAGCTTTGTGTATAACACTTTGTTTCAATAGTATTTTGTAACCTAACAGGAACATTGAGACAATGTCAACACAGCTTTGTGTGTAACACTTTGTTTCAATAGTATTTTGTAACCTAACAGGAACATTGAGACAATTTCAACACAGCTTTGTGTATAACACTTTGTTTCAATAGTATTTTGTAACCTAACAGGAACATTGAGACAATTTCAACACAGCTTTGTGTATAACACTTTGTTCCAATAGTATTTTGTAACCTAACAGGAACATTGAGACAATTTCAACACAGCTTTGTGTATAACACTTTGTTTCAATAGTATTTTGTAACCTAACAGGAACATTGAGACAATTTCAACAAAGCTTTGTTTATAACACTTTGTTTCAATAGTATTTTGTAACCTAACAGGAACATTGAGACAATTTCAACACAGCTTTGTGTATAACACTTTGTTTCAATAGTATTTTGTAACCTAACAGGAACATTGAGACAATGTCAACACAGCTTTGTGTGTAACACTTTGTTCCAATAGTATTTTGTAACCTAACAGGAACATTGAGACAATGTCAACACAGCTTTGTGTGTAACACTTTGTTCCAATAGTATTTTGTAACCTAACAGGAAAATTGAGACAATGTCAACACAGCTTTGTGTGTAACACTTTGTTCCAATAGTATTTTGTAACCTAACAGGAACATTGAGACAATGTCAACACAGCTTTGTGTGTAACACTTTGTTCCAATAGTATTTTGTAACCTAACAGGAACATTGAGACAATGTCAACACAGCTTTGTGTGTAACACTTTGTTCCAATAGTATTTTGTAACCTAACAGGAACATTGAGACAATGTCAACACAGCTTTGTGTGTAACACTTTGTTTCAATAGTATTTTGTAACCTAACAGGAACATTGAGACAATTTCAACAAAGCTTTGTTTATAACACTTTGTTTCAATAGTATTTTGTAACCTAACAGGAACATTGAGACAATTTCAACACAGCTTTGTGTGTAACACTTTGTTCCAATAGTATTTTGTAACCTAACAGGAACATTGAGACAATGTCAACACAGCTTTGTGTGTAACACTTTGTTCCAATAGTATTTTGTAACCTAACAGGAACATTGAGACAATGTCAACACAGCTTTGTGTGTAACACTTTGTTCCAATAGTATTTTGTAACCTAACAGGAACATTGAGACAATGTCAACACAGCTTTGTGTGTAACACTTTGTTCCAATAGTATTTTGTAACCTAACAGGAAAATTGAGACAATGTCAACACAGCTTTGTGTGTAACACTTTGTTCCAATAGTATTTTGTAACCTAACAGGAACATTGAGACAATGTCAACACAGCTTTGTGTGTAACACTTTGTTCCAATAGTATTTTGTAACCTAACAGGAACATTGAGACAATGTCAACACAGCTTTGTGTGTAACACTTTGTTCCAATAGTATTTTGTAACCTAACAGGAACATTGAGACAATGTCAACACAGCTTTGTGTATAACACTTTGTTTCAATAGTATTTTGTAACCTAACAGGAACATTGAGACAATGTCAACACAGCTTTGTGTGTAACACTTTGTTCCAATAGTACTTTGTAACCTAACAGGAACATTGAGACAATGTCAACACATCTTTGTGTGTAACACTTTGTTCCAATAGTATTTTGTAACCTAACAGGAACATTGAGACAATGTCAACACAGCTTTGTGTGTAACACTTTGTTCCAATAGTATTTTGTAACCTAACAGGAACATTGAGACAATGTCAACACATCTTTGTGTATAACACTTTGTTTCAATAGTATTTTGTAACCTAACAGGAACATTGAGACAATTTCAACACAGATTTGTGTATAACACTTTGTTTCAATAGTATTTTGTAACCTAACAGGAACATTGAGACAATGTCAACACAGATTTGTGTATAACACTTTGTTTCAATAGTATTTTGTTATCAATGATGTTCACATATTATTGATTCCCGGAAGATATATTTAACATTTGAAATACAAATAATCTATTACATTTGGTGTTGTGGACGCTGGAGTGTTCGATAGTAACGATGAAGAAGTTGAACTGACTGGGAACATGGTGGTCGATGGACTTGATGAGACTGTTGAAGTTGTAGCAGTGACACTATGTAAAGCGGCTGTCGTTGGTATAACAGTAGTTGATTGCGATGCTGTAGAAACTGTAGGGCTTTTTGTTTTAGAAGGTTGATATGATGTTGACTGGGTTATCAATGTAGTTGTACTTGTTGGACCTGTCGGAGTTGTCGGAGTTGTTCTTCTTGGACCTGATGGAGTTGTTGGAGTTGTTTTAGTTGGATCTGTCGAAGGTGTGGACATGGTTGGAGAAGAAGGTGTAGGTGACTGAGCTAAAATAGAAGACATATAATATATATTACTTCAGTTATACAAAAATGTAATATTATTCGATGACGCATTTTAATTATTCCTGATATATAAACATGCATTCTAAAGACCATCTTCGAATATATAATGATTAAAAATGAAACGGGTATACATAATTGTCACCTATATACAACGTCATAGCTGAACACATTCAACATGTGTGGGTATATACTACTTACAGCATTGACAATGAGGACATCCGGTCTTGCAATCTATAGAAGGTGAACAGGGACTATGAATTACTTACGACATTGACAATGAGGACATCCGGTCTTGAAATCTATAGAAGGTGAACAGGGACTATGAACTACTTACGACATTGACAATGAGGACATCCGGTCTTGAAATCTATAGAAGGTGAACAGGGACTATGAATTACTTACGACATTGACAATGAGGACATCCGGTCTTGAAATCTATAGAAGGTGAACAGGGACTATGAACTACTTACGACATTGACAATGAGGACATCCGGTCTTGAAATCTATAGAAGGTGAACAGGGACTATGAACTACTTACGACATTGACAATGAGGACATCCGGTCTTGAAATCTATAGAAGGTGAACAGGGACTATGAACTACTTACGACATTGACAATGAGGACATCCGGTCTTGAAATCTATAGAAGGTGAACAAGGACTATGACAATTCATCCAGTCGTTGCTACATTGCAAACTGCCAGGAATATAGGCTGGATATACAAAATAATACATAACTTATATGTGATAATTTACTATAATTTGATATTATAATGTAATATAATATTATGATTTTATTAATGATCTTTTATTTAATTATGTTTTCACATATGGGCACATCTCTGTCTTACTATAAAAAAGACACACAAGTGAATAACACCTTTTACTAATTTAGGGTTTAATACAATAGAGCCAGACAGTGAATTAAACTACATCATACAGCTGTTTCGTCTTCCTAGGACTCATCAGTTATGCTAGGATCTTAATTGTTGAAGCCTTGGAGGAAACAATGGATCGAGAGAAAAGTCAGCATTCAATAATTAGATATTTGTTGTCAATCAGACAATTCTAAGATGGCGTCAAGTGCATGTGCATATTTTCAACAGTGTCGATATACATATGAAATAAAACGTGGCATACAGTTTAGATCACATGTCAAATAATCCCAACATACTGAAATGGTACTTAAGATACGAAAACAAATGACAGAGTGACGCCCCCTTATACAATCAGTTATCTCATTCTTTGTTTCATTCAATAGTGAAGCCGTATTCCGCCTTACACTCGTCCGATCTACGGCCAAACCATCTTTCAAAACTAAAAAAGTACATGGTAGTTGCATGCTGAAGTTTGTTACCAAACTGTGATACGAAACTAACGTCCACTTGGATTGGCTGGGTTGTCACTTGGTTGTACCATAGAACCGCTGGGATTGGATGGGTCGAAATTCGGATTTATCATCGGATTGGCTTGATTTGTACAGTCACATGTACATCCGGTGGAACTTCTCTTAAAGCACAGTGGCTGGCAGGTGAAGATCAGGTTGGAACAACTGTCTGACTTACTTGAGGAGCTGAACAGAAAACCTGTAAATAAGGCAGATGATGTAAACACTACCCAATTGTACTGAAAAGTCACGCAAAAAAAAAAAAAATAATGATAAAGAACCTAGTATGTAAAACACCGGTAGCATATGACAAAATAATTTTATTTCCTTTAAAAACAGTAACGGGTCAATAAGTTCAAAATATGATAAAAATACAGCTGATTTCTTTGTTTTGTTTTTACCTGTAATTTTAGTGAAACCGTTCGCTACTCTGCTGTTCAAGTATTGACATAGCAACAGATGAAACACTCGCGCTATTTAGAAATAATGTGTGAATTGTTTTCAGTCATCGTTATACACGCTTTATGGTTCCGTTGTTCTTATTTGAGAACGTGACATTATGTGGTCAGGCCCCACTTGTATAAAACATCTCAACTTGAGATTTCCTCAAGTCGAGATTTTCCTCCGCTAATATCTCCTTGAAAATATCTTGTATGAAAATTCCTCAAGGAATTTCAGGACATCCTAGCCGATGCCTTCCTCCTGTTCCTTGAGAAAATTTTATACAAGCCGTTTTCGAGGATATATCAGCTGACGAAAATCTCGACTTGAGGAAATCACAAGTTGAGATGCTTTATACAAGTGGGGCCATGCCTACTTATTCCTGGGGTGTGTCGTCAGACTTCAGTCAAGTTGTACTTTGAATATGTCAGATACTTTTAGACGAACGTAATTTACACGTGTATATTTTGATACTATTCAATTAATAAAAACATTGTATTTGGAGTCAGTATCTACTTACATTGTACACTGTAAAGCTGGAAAACCCCAACAATCAATACTATCCTGGGATCCATTACGCAACACTTCTGTACAGCTATGTCTGGGAAAGGGTTTATCTTACCACCAAACAGTTCACTTGTTAACACTACCTGACCTTTAGCTATGGTCCAATCGTCCTTTTAACAATAACAAATATAATTTTCAACAATAAACTATATACTGTACGTGTATTGTATATCGCCACATGCACAAAGAATGAAATAGACTATTTTAAATTTTATGATAAATAACTTTTATTAAAACAATGAATTGAAGCTGACTTAGCTTTAAATTTTGTGTACAATTATAGAGTATCAGTAAGTATTCATGTAAGATTAGTCAGCTTAAAGGTCAAATAAAATGAATAAATACTTAATTTTTGAGGAAAAAATATTGATATTTAAACACCACGTGATATGAATTTGTTGGTAAAGGTACTATATATAGGTAATAGTATTTAGCCATTTGATGAGAAATGACAAATGTAATTATAAGGCTTTCCGAACATAAAAGGCACAACACAAGACAGTTGATTACAATAAACTTTTATCTCATTTCTCTTTACATATCACCAGTAGTAACATCAAACACGAAACTGAAATTGGATATGGAAACAAGTTTTACAACCTATATAATCCATCTCCATTTAGAGAAAAGTTGATTGAGTGATGAAGCTTGACTTATATAAAGCTTGAGTACTTTTTCATAGCAATGCTTCATACACAATAATTCAATAATGAAGACACCATGATATTTATATAGAAATAAAACAAAAACAAAAGCCCAGACATCGATTACGTTGTTAATAACTATATCTATCTATAACATTTATCATTAAACAGACAAAGCGTAGCCGGACAATGTGTTGACCGATGTCACGATCTCTCCGATAAGGCTATCACACCATCTGGCGGGAACTGGACATACGTAATGATTAGAAGCCTTGCTGACCAGAGACTGACCGTCAAAATACCAGGAGATATGACAATTACTTTCAGGCCAGTGTCTTTTTCTCAAAATGACAAGAAAGTATGTCAAATGCTCGTAGGACGGCGTCTGGCAGTCAAAATGCACAAGAGTCTATGACAAATCTTGTAAATTAAAGTCTGGTCCTCAAATGACAAAAAACACATGACAAATTCTTTTAGCGCCCGGTGGTGAAAATGCCCAGGACGTATGACAAATACGCGTCTTACGGTCAAAATGCCCATGACATATGACAAATACGCGTCTTACGGTCAAAATGCCCATGACATATGACAAATACGCATCTAGTGGTGAAAATGACTTGGAGCTATTGCAAATAATTTAGATTAACGTCTGACATTCAAAAGGACTAAGGGATAAGACAGATACTTGTAGAGCCACAGAACAAAGTTCAAAGTAAGATTTTCTTGTAAATCACAGTTGAACTCTTCCTCATTGCTATATCTCTTATAAACTATAAAGAAGTATCACGTACAAAACATATGTTTCCTTGTTAGATTATTCTATCTCTGATTAATTACCTAAAGAGCTCAAAAGCACAGTACCTACGTTAACATGACCATCCTAATAGATAAGGGCGGTAACTCTGTAAGCTATTTTTTAGATCAAGATTATTTTTGAAAAGATTTTCAAACTACTCAATAGTATTTATCAGTTTTTTTCTACGATAAATCGCCCAACACAAAAGTTGAATACACAAAAAAATTATTCAAATTTATTTTAATGTTGAAAAAAAATACAAAAATTGCATTTTGTAAATTTAACTCCAGATGTCCTGATACCACGATGATTTGATTTCATCAGTTTCTGAAATAAAAATTAGAAAGGAGACAGTAAAAGTCAGATATACATACAGGGGCTGATTGATGACCTCTACCGCTATCAATGCCTTTGACCTTTTGGTTCTGAAGAAGATGTTAGATCTTATCTGAGCTCGAGGATGGATAAACCCGGTCACTGAAGACCTTTTTTATTTCTATTTTCCGAACATTTTTTTTTCGAAACACAAACAATTAAAACAATAGAATTTAATTTCATGTTTTGGAATGAGACACAAGCCAATTTATTAAAAATATTAAGTATGAGGAATGGAACTAATAAATTTATAGATTTTATAAAAGATTTAACTTACTGCATGTACAGGTCGTACACCCAAATACGTTAAATCCAATACAGTGACTAGGACAATCGGGAGAAAAGAACTCACATACGGTGGATTCTGCAGCACAACCGGAAACAATTGTCAAAAAAGATACATAGATTACCATCCACGATCAACAATATAACATAATAATGCATTTTACACAATGTACCCGGAATATGCATGTTTCCCCAATTAGTTTGTGTGAAATTAATGATCTTAATGTTTTGTCTGATGCTGCTTAATATAGATATTGTGCTTTGCAATTTCGATTTGTTTGCTAAACAAGCCCTGAGAGTACCAAATAAAATCTGAAAAGGTTTATGTCATATTTCAATATACCTGTACTTGTCAGATTTCATTAACGGACATATCATATTTAATATATATATATTGATGTTCTACTGTTATAAGTTGCATTTTGAAACTTACATATACGGAATGCCATTCATTCTAGCGTAAATGCCATTAATGAGCGGTAATAAAGCTAGTTGTCTTATACCTATATCGTGATCGGCACTTCCTGCTGTGGTCGTTGTTGTTTGCTGTTTGTTGTCGGCACCTGTAACGAAAATAACTTAAATAACAACAGTCAGATCTGTAAACCCTAACCGCACTTTCAAGCACATCATGTTTTACGTTCTTTGTACTGCTCATTAAACCGATAAATATTAATAAAATCGGATTAATTACTAGCACAATATATTTTCCATACACAGACTTTGATTTGATTTTGGTTCTATATTAGGGATAATGATTGTCTTATTTTATATGTTAAAGATATAATATTCTTTATAGAAATTACAGTTTTATCACTGGATTAAAGTTAAGTCACAACTAAACAATTAGTCGGGAAAACGAAAGGAATTTTAAAGATTTAACATTACTATAACACCAACCCATGGAAAATATTGGCTGGCTATAATAATAGCATCTCCTCTGATCTACCTCGTCCCACAGGGCGTTCGGATTGTGCCCGCTATCATCGTGGCAGGGCTCAGAAGAGATGACTAAATTTTAGATATATAATATTGTCTCTTCTTTTTAAGCCACTTCTGTATATGGGCCTAACACTCGCTTCGTCCTTCGTTCATAGGGCCGGAAATAAAACGATGGCTAGAACTTTAGATACAACCTCAAATATGTTTTATTATACTTTTAGGACAAATTAGACATTAGAAGAAATAATTTTTGTTAGAGGATGAAAATAACCCCGAGAGAATGTTTCTCTATATATAATTTCTTTCTCGCATATATACTGTGACACTGCTCACGTTTGGCGTTTAGTTTTAACTTTCGCCCACGAGAGGAAGGCTGTGGGTTTGAACTCTTTAAATACCGACGTCTTTAAAGATGGAAGGTTTTACTTACTCCCTGCTATCATTCGCCTTTGCTGAAGTTTTGAATGTGCTCGGACAAAGTCCTGCACGCTGTATTCAGCAGGTTTGAACCAGCGCCCACCTCCATCAAAAAAATATATCTTACCAGATAGATTGATAGATTTATCGATTTTACTGTTTTATTAATTTGATTGTCAAGTAGATTTATTTATTCGATTACATACTACAGATACAGATAGGACACAGCGTGCTGGGATCTATAGTTATACATCGTTGATGACATCTTGTCCAAGTAACCTCACATACTATATTCTCTTGTGGTCCGAGAATCTTCGGTCGATCTGTAGAAAATAAGGAGTATAAACTGCATTAGCTTGAAAGAGGTTTAGAGACGTGCACTTGCTAATTGTCAATTAAATTGTAAGTTAATTTAAAACAATCTAAACGGAATGAAACCGCATGATTAAACCGTTTCGTTGTTTAGAATGTATCAGATTTGCTTATGACGCAAATGTGGTAGGAAATTTAAGAGACAATGTATTCTTATTTCACCTTTTAATCATCTCTATAAATAACACTAAATGAATCGAATCCAACGTTATCAGAAAATAATTATTCAAAACATCAACTTTCATTCATTTTTATGCAAGACTGTCTTCCAATTAATAGTTACAGCTTCACGATTTGTTTTTGTTCTTGACACATATTGAAGTAAATTATCCCAGATTTATACCGGTAGTCTGTTGTTGTAAAGTGTTGTCGGTCTCGGACGTTCCACCAGCGTTATATCCTTGTCCCGAAAACCCTCCAGACATCCCTGGTGTCACAAGAAATTTACCCAACGCTGACTGTTGATCAGGTCTAAGAGCTGAAGAATTATTTTACGAAGAAGTCATCAATCTAATGAAACTTAAATACGATACCAAAATCATTGTTATATAATATCATTTCATTTATGATATGTATTTCAAAGAATTTCCAAATACAAGTCGTACAAAATACATACACATGGATGACATCTTTTTATAGTAATCTAGAGTAGAGCCAAACATTGAATTAAAATGCGTCACACAGTCGTTTCGTCCTTCAAGGACTCGTCAGTGATGCTACATCATACAGCTGTTTCGTCCATCTAGGACTCATCAGTGACGCTACATCATAGAACTGTTTCGTCCATCTAGGACTCATCAGTGACGCTACATCATATTGCTGTTTCGTCCTTCTAGGACTCATCAGTGATGCTAACAGCCTAAATGTGAAGCCTAGGAGGCGACTGAGGAAAACTCAAGGTAATTGAAAGAAAAGTGAAAACCTAGTTGAGGAGATTCTATAAATTTCGTTATTCCCATCGATCTTATAATTTTAGAAAAAAAGTCGAATACATGTCTATGAAATGAAACATGACAGGCAAGTAAATAGATAAATAAAAAAAATCAGCAAATTTTCTATCGAGGGAGGAAACATACACAACCTCCTGTGTCTGATGTCTTGCTGAAAGTATTCTGGTGTAGGACTGAGGCCAATTGACCGGAAACCATGTTTTCTTGGGTCTGATAGAACGGATTCGGTGCAGCATCTGCATTCTGGTTGACATCCGCATTTGCATCCACTATATTTTGTGCGTTGTTGTATCCCATGTTTCCCGCCATGACAGCAGGTCTCGAAACACTTAGCGGGCTTTGCATGTTGTTGAAATTTCCGGTTCCTTCGAAACTTCCGGCCATAAATGGGCTAGTTATTTCTTGTTTAGAGTTATCTCCCTTGTTCTGAAGGTCACACACGAACGGTATGCCGTAACAAGTTGATAACATAGTGTCCAGAAATAGACCTGTAATAAATACAAAGCTTTATATATATTATCAAATATGATATCCAGGTACAAATACGACAGGTATGTCAAATCTGAAAACTCCGATTCGCCATTGTTTTAACTTACTGATAAATGGAAAAAAAATAACACTGTTAAATAAGACAGACCAATTTAGACTTATGCCTGGACCGGGAATCGAACAAACGATCGACAGCAGCAAATCGCCTAGCCAAGAAATCTTTCAACTGTCTAACCGAGTCAACATAGCCAAAAAAAAGGATGTTGGGAAATTACATACACATAATTACATCTCTGTATTGATCTTTTTCTTCAAAACTTTTGCTAATAGAAAGTCTGCTTTTTAGTATCCAAATACTCCACATTGCTTAACACCAGTTGTTTGATTGTAGCGTCTCTATGGAGATTTAAAGAATGGACATTCACGACTGTGAAATTCAAAGTGTGCCTGTTGGTTTCACTGATTGCTGCCTGCAAGGATATTATAAGGAGGTCTTCGAATTATTTTTTTATTGTGCACCTCTTCAAAAGTCTGTTTCTCCCTAATAATATTTCTGTTGAATATAGCGGTTTTTTTCCGATAAGAATATATAAGGAAGAACACGTGTAGATTTTGTCACGTGATTGTAACCTTGTATTGGTTGGGGTATTTTTTATTTTATCCGAGTTTCATTTTGTCCTTTATCAGGTTTTTTCTTTAATGTTAATCATTGTTATTAAGTTAGCAGATTTTAGCAGGTATTTTTAATGATAGAACTTCAGATATTGTAAATAATTAGCCCCGTTCTGTTAATGTGAATACTTCAAATCACTTTATTTTAGCGAGTATTCAGTTTTGAGAGAGGTATGTGATTGTCTTATTCACGAATACAATATTTCGCGGTTCCAAACTACAAAAGTTATTTATTTAATTACAAAACAAGCGAAAGTATACTCCACAGGGATCTGAATTTGCGAATTAAGCTGTTCGCGAATAAACGCGAAACATAATCCCCGCGAAAATTGTAACAGTGTTAGGCTAGAAAATATATAACAACAAGCTAAATTAATTTAGATGTTTTGCAATTGAATACAGAGTCATAGGACGATAATAAAACATAGATAGTAGGTTTCGTTATATGTAGTAACACACTCATGGTAATTGATGTAAGTAAACACGTTATAAACTATGACATATATATAATATGCTTTGTTTAAAATGAAATCCACGCATAGATCAATATAACAAATTTAAGTACCAACATCAAGCTGCAATAGGCCTGTATCTGACAAAAGACACTGAAGTTCTGCTTTAAAATAAGATATTAATTCTCAGTGTTAATGTACGTGATAAAGATCCAACATTTGTTAGATATTTACAAATATTATCAAATTCAGACTTACCTTTGATGGACCAAGGTAAAATTAGAAGAAATACGATGAAAACAATGTCCATATCAGCGCTAAAGTCCCGGCAGAAATATTTCTATTCGAGAAATGATCGCAAAAGGGGACATAACTCCGTAGAGTTTTATCGACTGACGACTAATATCCTCTCGATGATTTGTGTACCGGTTGATAAATCCACCGTTAGTTTCGTATCTTCAATGTCCCTGATAACGTGACCGTATTTGACTTTATTTTCCTTGGATATTTACCGATACTATTACAGTCATATCGACAATACATGTACTTTTGTTTAATTTTTGCTGTGTTATCGCCTCGTAAACAAACAGGGTCATTTTGAGGCGGGGTCTCCTTGTAACGGCTGGTGTCTAACTCACTGAACAACACACGGAAGGCCCGTCATATGTCATCCAGAAAAATGACGGTAGAGTGTTTTGATGAAACACGACAACAACAATAATAATAGCAACAACAACGATATCCTTTTATTTACAGATAATATGTATGTTGTTATTAAAAACTCCACACATGGTGTAGGAATCGCATGGCATCACGAATTACTTTTCATTTTTTTTTTACAATTCTCTCTCTTTGGTTCTTCTCTCTGGCTATCTACCTGGCTCTCTCTCTTTGGCTCTTCTCTCTGGCTCTCTCTCTCTCTCTCTTTGGCTCTTCTCTCCATCTCACCCCCCCCTCTCTCTCTCTCCCGCTCTCCCACCTCTCTTTCCTGCACTCCCCACTCGCTCTCATGTTTATTTCTTCTTTACTTCTGACTGCCAAAAATCTGCCCTCGATATTCAGAGGCATCAGTAACCCTTTATGTTTCTATATTTGTTATTGTTTTCTTTTTTTCTTTTTCTTATCTTCATACTTTTCTGTTGTTATTGGTTGATATCCAATATTTGTAATGCGAGGTGTATTTTTTTATTAACATGTAAAACATATTACAAAGTTTTATCCAGAAAATGAGGATTGACACATGACTGGTACAGTGTTTTAAACATGTAAGGACTACTTTTATTGATATCGTATACACGTAGATATAAAAGATTACGATGCTGTGTCGTTTTTATCTGCAGTATACATTATCATATCTAATTCCGTTATCACGTGGGAGTCATGTGTCTGTCATCTTACATGTGATCACGTGATTAAATGATATTGCAAATTTACTCATTTATGATAAATAACCTACATATCAAAACAAAAATAACAGAATACTCCTTACAACACACGACACCTGTCTTAAAAATCAACCATCGAGGATGTTAACGGCTAAGGTAATACTTATAACATGTTATATATGTATCATATATCAATATATATATATAATGTTCATGTCATATTTCTGTTTATGTGTATACTTCAAATATATGGTGGAAATTTAACATGTGTGATAGCTGCATAACCATTGTTTGATGCAATAGATAAACTTTCTGATAAATGTGTCTCTGCTCCTGGTAGCATCACCGACAGAATTAATCAGAGATTTTTTTCCTTTCATTACTTTCTTGAAATAGTAAAGACATATATGAATTTGTGCCAAATATATTGTCGTTATTATGTATTTTCCTAACTCAATATTACATCAGACCTGCGTGTTTGGTACGGTACTTGAAACATGTTGTATATGGAAAGGTTATTTGCTGTCTGACACAATGCAGCATGTTAACATGAGTTACTTCATATTGAACTCGCCCAGCACGTCTCAATACCGGAACTGACCATCAGCCGAATTTACCATATATGTACACACGAGTTTTCTGTATTGAACAAAAATACATTACTTCCAGAATGACTGTCAGCTTACCTAACCATTAGTAGAAGATATACACAATAACGTTGTCATTTTATTGAAAGCTTCGTAATAAACACAAAACGGTCCCTTCTCGGAACTTAAACCATAACTTATCAATGCTATGGTTATTGTGTCCTTGAACAAAACGTCTGTTTCGAATTCCTCGTGATAAAATCCGATGGACCTCTGGTATGTTGTTCAGTGAGGTTGTCATTAGTTGCAGCAATGAGAATGGTCCTAATTTGTACACGGGGCGATACACGAATCAAACAAACATATTTGATAATATAATACTTTCTAACGACTTTTCTTTCCCAGGTGGTTGTGTTACTAATATTAGTGACTGAGATCAAAGCTCTACCTACCGATACAGAATTACAGAAACAATGGGAGGACTTCAAGACATTACACAAAAAGATTTACCACCAGGGCGAGGAATCGAGAAGGTAAATACTGCCTTCAGTGCAAATTATTGTTTGAATTTTTTATTGACCCATGTCTCCTCCATCTAATCTTTGATCTTAATTATCGTATAACTAGCTTTTCTCCTCTATAATCATTGTTTTGGTGATACTTGTCAAATGCCACTCTCCTTCTTAATCACAAAAAGTCCATACTGTAAATTCGTTAGTTTTCGTAGAGCATCTAATTTCGTTGATTTTGTGGTTGCTCTTAATCCACGAAATTAAATGTTCACAAATCGATACACAGATAACCATGACATGTATTTTATTGCAACTAGATTTCATAGGCAAGATTTATCAACGAATCGTAGCGCCTACGAAGTTAGCAAATTTTGTAAAATCATAAAATTTTCACAACTAAAATTCATGATTTTTAAAAAATAAACCTATAATTACGTTAGGTGAAAAGTCAGACAATTTCTGAACACGTATTGCGATGTAATGTTCTGTGAATTTACAACATAGATTTATTAACTTTCATATCAAGGGAGACAACTCTTACGTCCCAATAGTTCGTATAACAAAGCACCGTGTTGTGCCAATGACTTATAAACGGTTTATTCGTTATGTTTTGACAGTAAATGGAAAAATCGCAATTTAATGTACTCATAACATAAACGTGGTGAGTAAGAGAGATACGTAACGTATAGTACTTACTTATCTGAACGGTCCCCCGTAAGAACATAGATTAACCAGACATGTCTATTTATTCTTGTCGATCTGGGTTTCTGGTGCCCTCGTTGGTCGCCTGCATCGACCACGATACATTTCGTACTTTGTTTTTCGGATACGTCAAAGTATCTGTAGACGTCAAACCCTCTGATAGATTGGTCTTACTATCCTTGAGCGCTTTCGGGGTAATTCGTGCAAGTCTTTTTGTGCACATTTTACCCTATTTTTTATATTTGAATTTTTAGTATTGCTGATGTATCTGACTAATTTGAATTAACTATAAAGATATTTCCACTATTTGTAGGAAATTAATTTGGGCCGAAAATTTGGAGAAAGTTAGAAAACATAACAAGGAGGCAGAAATGGGAAAACACACTTTTACCCTGGGTATCAACGAGTACAGCGACATGGTTTGTATTGTATATTAAAACCATTGATTAACATTACAGCGAAACCATTTTATAAGTAGGAAGAAATTTGTGTTCAAAATATATAGCTGTGATATCATCTATTTTCATTTCACAGCTGGTTAATCTACTTTTAAAAATCCGATAACATTGGTCTGAAATGGTTTTTTTTAATATTACCATATCACTTTTCCTGTTTACAAAAGATTTGCTGAAGAATGCTTTCGAAAAGACAGTTTTGTCAGCGTTTTTGAAAGGTAATGTCCGTAAATAATTGGGTCTCTTCAGGGCGTGCTTATTGTACCTTCACAATTACATGTTGTTTTGACAATGGTTTGTTCTATAATCACTATTTTATCTGTATAATTGGCTTCCAGATACTGAAAACTTTATGTTTTTCCCCTTTCTACTCCCTCTTCCCAGTGGGCTTGTTTTATTTGCTGTTTAAGCCTTCAAACGATTTAATATTTTGTTTGGAAAAAATAAACCCGGTTAAAAAAACCCACAATATCCCTTGCCTAATCTTAATTATAAATTTGTTTTCAGAGTCACGAGGAAATTAATTCACGAATGCATGGATACAGAGAATCAAGTTTTCAAATGATGAATTCAAAACATGAGGTGAAGGCTGATATGAACGAAAAAGACTTACCTAAAGAAGTAAACTGGAAAGCAAAAGGCTGGGTAACACCTGTTGGCAATCAGGTATGTAATTAAAAGTTCTTATAATGCCTACAGCAGCGAAAAATTCAAACGTAAATCAAATTTCCAGCAATATAAAAAAGAAAAAAGAACCACGTGTTGACTTAGTTCAAATTCAAAATCAATGAAGAGGGGACAAAGATAATGTTTCTTCAAACTGATTCCTCAGGGATACCTCGTTCTGATGTGCTATAGAAACCTTTTGATATATTTCTCAACGAATGATTATTGCATCGGCGAGTTTTTGCAATAATGTATTACTTATTGCATTGTTTGTGTGAATATACAGAAAAAAGAAAAACAAAAAAAAACAAAAAACAAAAGTTGGGATAACTACTGTAAATTAATGAATATTCGTAGGATTTTCGTTAATTTTGTGGAATTCCTATGTCCATGAACAGTTAAAGATAGTATTTATAGATTTATTGAGTTATATCTAATCAACGGTATCAAATGCCCACGATATGCGATGTTGAAATTCCATGAAAATTGAGTCCCACAAAAATCATGACTTAACAGTAATATTTGTTTGACTTCACCACTTCTTCCTTTCAAATTTATAAAACACTTTTGTCCGAATAATTCATAAAGTGAAACATTTTTTATTTGTTTTCCCCAATTCAATATAGTTTCTTGAAAAATGAAAATGGTAGGTGACGAATATGTCTGTTATAGTTTCAGTGTGGGTCCTGCTGGGCTTTCACGGCTAATGGAGCTGTGGAAGGTCAGCATTACAATGTGACTGGTCAGTTAGTACCGTTGTCTTCTCAGAATCTGATGGACTGCTCAGATGCTGAAGGTAAGTATTTGGGTCTACATATAATCTTTTACGTGTATTTTATAGTAGTTATGATTTCGCGGGCCTAAAAATTCGCGGTTGTTCCGGTTTGGGCTAGTTCCCAAGTACTTTAGGAAGAAAGTCGATGAACCGGTGTCCATGTTTATAGGCATACGATATATTTTCATTCAATGATGAAATGTTTGTTTGCTATTGAATATCCTGATATCAGTATTGATCTCAAATGTAACGATATTAAGTATCCCGCGAATATTTCCATTAATAAGTTTTCGATAACAGTTATGAAGCATATTATGTCAACTTGTACTAATCAATTCTGTTGACACGGGTGGATACCAGTGAGGGGTTCAAATTCCAATTTGTTTATATTTTCCATAGGAAACCATGCTTGTGAAGGAGGAACGATGATTCAATCGTATAAATATATCATTAAGAATAAAGGTGTGGATACCCAGACGGCTTATCCCTACACCGGGAAGGTATTTGTTTTCTGTAAACAGCTCTATAGCAAAAAATGAATAAATAAATAAATAGAAAGTAAATTAAATAAAATTAATAAAAAATAGAAAAGAAATTATAAAAACAAACAAACAAAAGCAAAAAAATCCTGAAAAACAAATTTCATAAAAAAAATCATAAAGATGCGGACAGACAAATACTGAAAACATTCGTTATATCTTATGGTTAAAGTGTCAACAATTCTATTAATCTTTGGGTTAGCACCAGATCGTAATTTTTGAAAATATTTTTATCTTTTTTCATCGGAAATACAGATGTTATGTCAAGAACTTTGCCGACATCTGCAAAATAGACAAAAAGATAATGACTAGAAACCAGACTTAGGAAGTGTCAATGGCACAATATCTAGTACACTAGTCCGACGTCAGCAACTATTGCTAATAAATAACAGGAAACAAGTGATATATGGCACAACATCTGACAAAAAGTACTATATACATCAACCAAGAACTTTTCGATTAACTTTGAAGTTTGCAAGTCTGTCTCTTTGTGTTTTAACTAACAGTTCTTTCTTAAGTCAACGTTACTAAACAAGACATTGAAATAGATTTTTAAAACGAAGCAAAAGTGTCCTCTTATACGTATTTATTACTTATAAATACCTATCCCTATAAGTATGAAAATATGTAAATTGAAAACAGAACCACAGCAAATGTATCATCGAATTAAAAAAAAAATCTCCAGTGCATGTTACGTATAAAGAAAAATTAGTCATAATTTGTCATCGGAGAAATATTTCATTGTCCGATATTTTGCATTTAACACATTATATATATATTCATAAAAATGAATAACTAAATTTGATAGAAAATTATACTGCAGGTTGTGTATACATTTTTCATTTCACAATTTGTTTAGAATGGAAAATGCCACTTTAAAAGGACGAGTGTAGGCGCCACCTTAACAGGATATGGAACTATCAAAAAGGGGAGCGAACTCGCGTTACAGAAGGCTGTTGCTACGATAGGTCCCATTGCTGTTGCTGTCGATGGTGAGAAGGCATCTTTTGGCATGTACAAAAGTGGAATATACAACGAGCCAACGTGTTCCCAGAACGTAGATCATTCACTGCTGGTAGTAGGATACGGAACACTGAACGGTACAGACTATTGGCTCATGAAAAATAGGTAATGCTATACATTTACACAATGTCATGTCAACGTATTTTTCATAAAAAATGATTTTATAATGAACTGCATATCACGTATTTCCTGCACAATGTAATAACAACATTTCTCAATATCTGTTTAATCAGTGCTAATATAAATATGTGAGCAACTGTTATTTTCATGTTTTTTTTTCATTTGAAAGAAAATTTTATTTTTAAGAAAAAAAAACATTTAGAACATTTCATGATCGCATAATGAACAAATACAAGTAGTTTTCGCTGATCAACATCTGATTAAAAATAATTGTCTATAGCGTAATGTCTGTAAGTTAACAGTGACATTTCATCATTTGTCTTAATCGTTTTGGACTTGGGAACGTTCCAGAGAATATATAAACATTTGATTTGATAACGCAAATCATGCAATCATTGATGATTTTATATATCCAAAAATGTGCGTCAAGTATTTGTGCATTAAAGTATCCATTTAAACAGGTTGGGGCCTTATTACATTCATTTTTTTGTTTTGTTTCCAAACTGTGGGTCCGAAAGACCTCGGAGAGTTATGTGGCAAAATACATATTAAGACTTTTCATTAATTTTCAGTCCTATACCGACTTCGTTACTCATTTTTTACATGATAATTAAGTATTTGTGACTTGAAATGCTTTATTTGATACTATATTATTTTAAATAACATTTCTTATGTCGTCCTTATATTCCTTCTCAATTGCTGGTTAAATAAATAAAGGGGAGGTAACTCTAAATGTTGTTCTGATAGAGATGTAACAGGTAAACGTTAACATGTGAGAAATACTAATACACTATCACTCTAGTAAACGGATTTGTTTATAAATCAAAATGAAATTCTAACTGAAAAATATATTTTCTGTCTCCTTTTTCAGTTGGGGAACAAGCTGGGGAATGGACGGTTATATCATGATGTCACGAAACAAGGGGAACCAGTGTGGAGTAGCCAACATGGGTAGTTACCCTATTGCATGAGTCATACCAGCGACATCCAGATCTTTTCTTCATGAAAGACATTGGTGAACTCTTATACACAATCAGGTGAACAAAAGGAAAATCGACATTGAAAATTTGCAAATACGATATCATACTTCAGATATTCGGTTTTATCTCCATTTAGTATAAATTCCGTTGGTGAGTCACGTGATATTACGATGGTGTAAGATTAAGAACGGTTTATCGATGGTGGATGTACAAAGAATCCGTAAATAGATAGATAAAACATTTAATTGTATGTTTTATTTTTATCTCATAAAACATACATTCTGTTTCCTTTCTGAATTTTTTATCGTTTTTAATATTCTTACATATAGTATACTGTTTAAAGTGAATACTGATGTGTATTATCTCCTGATGAGCAAAAGTACAGAAATATTGAAGTTAATGATTCTACATATGTTAAGTAAAATGTAACGAGGCGGGATAGGACGTTTAACGATTCTAAAAAAAGACTTTGTATGTAAGTACGTATAATCATTCCCGGAGTTATCTCCTTTTATCTCTGTTATGTGACAAATTATTTTGTGTCAAATTCCTAACTTCAAAAACTCCAATTTTTCTCCTGTTTTGTAATTGATATACTTTTTTCATTTCATGAGGGGAAGTTATAAAGCTTCGACTGTTAAATAATTTACGCTGCCAGTAAAATTTTGTTGAAATCTAATCGATCCAATGGTAATTGTGTATAGTGTCACCAATGAAAAAGTAAAAAAAAAATACACTTCCGGAACACTTGGTCTCATTTTCATTGAACGATTGCGATTGCTTCTGTACAAATCAATATTTTTGTTGTTATTTATTGATGTAAGTACAAAATAAACAAAAACAAATAGGAAAAAAAATGAAATCGGCTGAGCTTTAAAAATGTCAAGATAAAGCGAAATCAAACTAGCATTCCGGTAATCAACAATTCAGTAGTATAAAAACTATAGACTAATGTAAAGTCGGATACCAAATTTCGAGAGAACAATGTTTATTTAAATCATGGTTGAAAATATTAATGGCAGTTTTCAACAAAGTGATAAAATTCTAACAGGACCTTGTATTACGGAAACGCAAGGGCCATTACCATCACTAAACTGACAATACAAACATTCATTAGGTTTAACATCCTCACACCAACGAAGGTCATGTATAGACCTTACGTGTTATATGTGTATAGAAGGGATGTCTAATTTAACTTTTGTTTGAAGAATTTAACTTCCTCACAACAACGAAGGTTATGTATAGACCATACGTGCTATATGTCAACAGTTACCCGGTCCCGTTTCGCCCTGTATCACCGTCAACACAGGTTCGATGGGTACAGCTTGTTTTTGTTTTCGGAGGAGGACAAACACTGCTAATTTAAATGTAACAATTTATTTAACAGCAAACATTAATTAACAGGAATTATCAACACAGCATAGGCTGTTACCGACACAGAGACCCCCATCTTACACCGAACACATAAACTTATCTATCTCTATACAAAATTACATTCCACCCAGCTATAGCTTCCCACCTGATAAAATAACGAATTACGCTACCATCCCCCAACCTACCTCAGAGAAGGTTTCCACCCTGTGGAAGTTAATCCAACGCTCTGCACCCAAATTATTAGACATACTGCATCTTATACCCTAAAATGACAATACGAGACAGTTTGAACCAATCACAACACATCACCAGAGACAGAACACCCCTGACACGGACGAAAATGCAAGGAAAACAAGACAGGAGAACTTGCACGTGATATACATAGACCTCCGACAAAACGGGTTACAGGTGACAGGACAAAACAATGGAGAGGTCACGGGTACACAGGGTACAAACACTACAGTAGACCTGACACACGGACACCTGTATAAAGCCGACTAAAATTGAAGCATTGACAGCTTTATATCATATAAAATTACACAAGATATAATGTCCCCCGCTACAGAAGTAAATGACATAACCCAGTTCCTAGCTCACTGACGGCTTCCTAGTGATGCACTCGTATCGCGCATCTCTCCCCCCTGTGGAGTTGGTGGCTGGGATATCAACACTAAAAGGTCTCCCGAGGAGCTACATGCCAGCCTGTTCTGGGGACAGTCCCTCCTGCAGCTGAGCGTAACGTCAATCGGTCCCGTTACTGCATGCGGAAGACCTAGCGCTCCAATAATACTGACCTTCTGTATCCTTTACAGTGTTGTACCCGCCATGTGAAACTTTAAAGATAAACGAAACGAACACTAAACACTCATCCATCCATTCTCGTGATAGTTACCATAACTAACATTTAACATTTTTCCACAAATTACAATTAAATGATAATCCATCATTCGCTACTAACATTCTATGAATTATATGTATGACAATACACAAGAACTACATTCTACGGTGCGTGATGAGATTCTATATCAAATTTCAACAAAAGTACAATATCGCAACACGAAACAAATAAGGCGACTCCGGCCTTCCATAGATTTTTTTACCTACGCTATCAGTCGCCAGTTCACGCGCACACGACTACCGCTCACGGCTTCCATACATATTTCACTCGAACGTAACAACATTTCAATGGGTAGTTAGCTGTTATACAACAACTTAATCATTAACATAATAGCAAATATAGATGTACAATAAGAACTTCAACTACAAAAGGAGCAAATTCAACGTTATATCCAGAAATTAAACCTGCATTTTACAATCCTGATAGCTACGCATGAACGAACACGCACCGATAATAGATGGCTTGACCTATGATAGGGACATGGAAAATATGGCAATAAATAACCACAGAAAACCGCATATTACTAAAAACAGAAAGAATACTTACCTCAGTCAGATGTCAGGGCTCCTTTTCATGCCAAAAATGTCCCATGAATTAGGCCAACAGGTGACATACCACAACGGCCGTACTGCCTACCTGGGCAGGCGAAACTTGCTGTTTACGCTTACTGCTCACACACTCGCTCACGTGACCCACACAACACCACAATACCCAGGTAACATACAGATGTACGTGACAGTAGGGATAGTAGGGATATATAACTTATCTTTTGTTTGAAGAATTTAACGTCCTCACAACAACGACGGTCATGTAAAGATGAGTGAACGAATGTCAAGGGGAGAACCAAGAGTGGAGAATAAAGTACAGATAAAAAACAGGATAGTACAGAAAGGAAACTATCGAGTATTGTAATGGAGACAGAAGGTTATTTATGATATCCACGAAGTAAGAGGCTTGAGAGATAATTCCTACGATAGAAATAGTCTGTTCTATCAACTCAGGTATGAAACTTTTACTTTGATAATTGTCTAGTGTTGTAAATATAACACTTCACGAACCTCACAAAAGCGGTAAGATCAGTCAAGGCATGGACGACATTTATTATTTAACCTGAAGAACAAATAATCTCAAGGCTGGTGACATCATGTCAAGGCGTTGACAAGTATAGGCTAGGGGGTTTGATGTCAGATCTATTTCTATGGCTCCTGCTGAATTGCATAATACCACCGTTGTCAAAAAGATTGCTTACATAAAGTGCAATTTATAGATCGAGATAAAAGGGTCCTTGAAATCAAATTGTCTGGATTTGTTCAAGGTCAAAGTAATGACATAATCACTTGTGTGTCATGTGTACAGTCCTTTGGAGCATTTTTATACTTTGTCATTCTATCTTAGGATTTTATTAGCGTCATGTATACTATGCTGATGAATATGCAAATCGACTAATAAAGGATGGGTACATTTGCATATGTTTTTTGGTTTGATGTAAAATAAACTTAGTTTAATAAATATTCTAGTTTAACTTTCACTACTTGTGTGATGAATAAGGATATATGTTATTAAATCCAACGAATCTGTTCTGAAGTCATGTCTTTTCCTCCTCTTTTTTTTTGTAAACTATCTGTATACCAATCTGTTTTCATTTTCTTCCATTAGAACAAAAATATAAACAACAGCAAAAATACCAACTTGTCATCATAATCTTAATTAAAACTTAAAACCGATAATACTAGAGCAAACCATAAACAAAGAAAAGTTCACAATAAACGCATGAAAAAAGACAGCGAGAATATGAAAAGATGTTTCGGAAGAGTAAGCGTCTTCTACTTCATCGACGACACACACGTTATGTACATCTAAGTAATTGCAAGTAAATTATATGTTCTCGAGTGGAAAAGCTATGCAAGAATGGAATCAGCAGGAATACTAACGAGCATCAAACATGTCCAACGTCATACCGCACAGGTAAATGATATTGCCTGTTGGTGTGAAACCATTTCATTTAGCATTTTTCGGTTTTGCATGCCGTTTCTGATATATCTTTATAGCTAATTGCTCCAGTGTTATTAGGATACGATGTGTTGTTTTCAGGGATTTGAGGGAAAGTATATAACCCAAGGAAATACATGTTTATATCGAATTACTTTCATCCATCTTTCCTTTCTTCAAGTATTAAATGTATATGCTTGTTTAAGGGGTCAGACGAACACTAAATCATCGTGTTATCATTGTGATTTGTCCTGTGTACCCCTTCGCTTCTCCTTATCTAAGCTCGTAGCGGCAGTGTATCTGGTGCATCCCCATTAACAATCATCGCTTTGACCCATTTCCACAGCTCACATTCCAATGACTCTAATATTATACAAACTCCCGGTATCTGCCAAGGACATCATTTACCAGGCCCATGACCTATATCACCCTGCTCGACTTTGTTAGCAATCTATTAACTCGTCTAAATATCATTGGCTTGTCTTGGGTTTTTTGTATAAATCTTTATTTAAATTCTGTCTGATTATATAGGATTCGACGCCATCGCAACAACGAAGGTCATTTCAAGACAGTGTCAACAGATGACGGTGATATTTAAACCGTTATCTCATTCAGATGTTTTGACCTTTCAACGGTTTCCCGAGTCACCATCCATTACACAATCAATGGTTTACGAATTTATCCACGTGACTGTCATAACAAGCGGTGTACTGGCAAAACATAGTTAATTTCATGGTTACTCTTTATCCATAAATATATATATTAACAAACTTTAAAAAAAAATTCACGAAATATGGTTTAAAAAAAAACAAAAAACAAAAAACCGACGAAATCTGTGTTCCGCGAAAATATATATGTTTTAGCAAGACTCAGCCAAAGTCGTTATTATTATTTTTTTTTCTTTCTTTCTCGTTTATGTCCCCATCAGTGCCAATCGCTCCAAAAAGTAAAAAAAAATGGGACAGAAACTACCAAGTTTGATTCAAATTTAATAGTGACGTCGACTTTATTTAAAAATACGTAATATTTGGCGGGAAATGGTATTTTAAATTCTGTTATGTATCATATAATGATCTTTTCTTGGTATCTGTCAACTTATACATCACTAATATTAGGTTTAGTATTTATATCTGGAAGATAGGGGTGTTATTGTGTTGTTTTCATTAGGCTTTGAAATTGCTATCGTGTCCTCTCTTAAAGTGTATTAGATGAATCGCTGATAGTTGCTGCACGCTAATTACATACACAGACATCCAGCTATATGTCGGATCACAGTACAAAAGACACATCATGAGTTAATAATAGTTTCACTCCTTCCTTGTTTTTTTTTTTAATATAGAGCAAACTTTGCTGCCTAATTGTCCGTAGTGAAATTCTGGATGATATGTTCTAAAGGTACTTTGCGCTATTAAATAAGCAATTTTCGATTGCAATTTTGGACAATTGATTTTCTATATACGTGGCCCTGATAATGCAAAAAGGTTTATTTTCATAAAATAAATTATTCTGTTTTTTCGCGGGTTGAACTAATCAGTAAAAAACAAGAAAATACCAATGTATCAACATAATAGATATTTAAAATATATTTTGTTTTTTTCTTTTTAATTTTTTAGGAAAATTGACAAAAAAAAAAAAAAAAAAAAAAAAATGAACCATCGATAAAATTGCAGTATATATACTATGTAGTTGGCGATCTCAACTGGAGAGACATTACAGCAACAGTTTCCGTATCACTCAAAATAGGAAGAAATCACGTTGTCGATGTGTAATGTAAAATGCATAATCTGAATTTCGCACAACAACACGACATATTGTAGGAAAAAATGGTTTATTACAGTGAAATAGTCTTTAGATCATACAAAAATAGTGAAATTGCTAAACTGGATGGACAGAACACAGCGAACAGGCTGTGATCTGTCTACTTGACAACATTTTCTTACTAAAAAAGAAGTTTATATCACCATAGTATAGTATAATTAAACCAGCCAAAAGCTATTAGAAAAATAGTCACTATTGTCATTAAACGGTTGGGTAACTGGGCTGTGTAGCAATTCCGCACATGTTTTGTTCGCTCTTCACGATCTTAAAGTAACCTTCCATTCCCCAGGATTCACCCCAGCTGTAACAAAAAGAAGAAAAAGGATGAAATATAAACATAGAACTGATAAATGAATAAATAAATTAATTTAAAAAATTATGAATATAAAAGAAATACCTAATAAGGACTTGGAGCAATGTTCTGTTATGGCATTGATAACACAAAAAGAAGTTATGTATATATATATCTATATATACTAATGACAAAAAGTTTGGCTTTGATTCAATTTCTGTTGTTTGATGTCCAAATAACATATATTGCCCTTTAGAGACTGTCTGTATGCAGGATTGGTGCATGTGTGTTACTTAAGCTGACTTTAAAGTGCCGGAAGTATGTGGCCAAAGGCACACAGCAGAACATCAGCTGTATAACGAGGGGCGTTTTATTTTTATTATTTCGTATAATGAGAGGCATTGCATTGAGGTGATACTGTACAACGAGAGGTTTATAACTTCTTTGAGAAACAAAAAAAAAAAAAAAAAAAAAATACAAAAAAACCCCAAATAATTCTTTTATAATTTTTCACCTGTTCTTTATGATCCAATAGTCTTCGGCACCTTCTGATCCGTAACCTACAGCCAATACTCCATGATCTAGCTTGGTCGAACTGCACATTCGCTCCTTGTATATTCCGGACCTGTACAGCTGAAACGACTTGTGGCCGGCGTCCATGGCAACAGAAATTGGACCAACTGTAGACACTGCCTGTTGTAGAGCTGTGATGCTCTTACTCCTGACATCAACAAATCCGGTGTCAGTTGCTCCAACATTTCTGGCTTCGAACTTACACGTACCGTCCTAAAAATCAATAAATGCGTAACCGTTAATACGAATTAATCGTTTGCATCTTTGTAAAACCTGATACAATTTTAGAATGTCGATATTTTCCTATAAAACATTATCGTTATCGTGAAGACAAAATTACAATATCCTCCCCCCCCCCCCAAAAAAAAAAAAAAAAAAAAACAGTAAGACAATTTTTAAAAGTTTAAAATACGATGAACGGAAACATGAACTTATCAAACTATGTTAAATTACTATTGGCTTCGTAAGATAAAACGTACCTTTCCGACGTATGGGTATGATTCCTCTGTATCAATTCCATTGTTTTGTTTAATGTATTTGAATCCAAAGTCCATTAAACCTCCCTTACAGCCATGGTTTCCTGGCAAAAATAAGCAACTAAAAATAACGACACATTTTCTAAACTGTTGACCATTTAACTCGATCACTCGTTATTACTTATATCAATTGTCCCATCCTGAAGTGTAATTTGACTTTTACGTGTAACTTTTAAAGAATATTAAACATGTTGGACATAACATACTGATATGTTTATTATTTAATTTTTATCACGTCAGTTATAAGAAATGCAGAGTTCTGTTACAGAATACTATTATGAAGAATACCAAGAAGGTCCATTATTATCCTTACCTTCCTTTTTGGAGCAGTCAACAAGGTTCTGTTCAGACAGAGAAACCAATTTTCCTTCCTTCTTGAAATGCTGTCCTTCCAATGAACCAGTAGTAGAGAATGCCCAACATGATCCACAATGGCCCTTTTGAAATGGAAATTGAAAACATTTATTTTTTTGTTAAAAGTTTTCGATTATTTTGCTTATAAAATCTTTATGAAAATGCTCCAACAACAGTCAAACAGAAAAGTTAGATAATGAAAACAACAGGACACATCATATTCTAAGAAAAACTTAAATTTCATACCACAGCTTATATAACAAACAAAACATGATCTATTTACATATATGTGCAATATAGACCTTTAAATATATGATGACAGTTATCTCTTTTAAACATCTAAAGATATATTTTTTCTGTAAATATGTCCTAACACGAGTAAAACGACACCGACCCTCCGCAAAAAAAAAAAAACAAAAAAAAAAAAAAAAAAACAAGCAAACATGTGATTATCATAAAGACTACAAGGACCTTCCCCCAGAGTTCCCCACGCCATCATTAAAGCCTTTTGAGAGACCAATGTTCAATATCGGAGCTTTTCCTCATGTGTTTTTCTATCCAGTAATAATTAAAAAAATAAATTATGGTACATATTACATCAACGTAAGTATCCTATTGACAGAAGTGCAATACAAGACCCTTGTTTGGTATAAAATGAAACGAAGGCTGTAATGATACCTGGTTTTTGACAGCTGTGACGTAGCCCTTTGTCCTCCAATCAACTGAATCATCTGCCACAATGTCGTCAGAGGCATCAAAGATTACTGATGAGGAAGTGTTTCGCATGATGTATCCATTAAGCATGCGTACAAATTCAGAGTTTGTCTGAAATATGTACAAATATTCACAATTTTGTGGTGTGTTTGTAAAATCGGGTAAAATTTATGTTAGAACTATGTCTTTGCGAATTGTGTCGAATGTTAGATGAAACTGATATCATAAAATATGCAAGAACAGCAAAATTCATATTTTATTTAGTAAACATTTTATTATTGTAAACATACAATAAATAAACATAATTCAGTATGATGAAGTTTTAAAGCATTATCCATCCTAAACGTAGAAGCGCAATGACGAATTGTCGTATACTGTTGTATACACGAAAGATAGAAAACGCAATAAAATAACATCACCGCTAACAAATAAATGTCTTCAGTATATGTGTTTTCTCTATGAGTCTACAATTGTTCAAATCATGTTTGCCATGTTGATTTCGGAGTAATTTTCGGATAATTATCTTAAACATTTATGAAAGGACGGATTATGATAACCATAGACAAATACACATAAAGTGAAATTTGTATGTCTCATTCTGTCATTTAATAATGTTAAATTCGAAAAACATAGAAATATAATAAACACTATTTGAGTCAACTGATTAACATATAAAACACAATAACGTCAAAGTTTGTCTACATGATTAGGATAGTCTATTTATTAATTTTCACTTACCAGGTCTCCATACTCGTTCATTCCTGTAGTGAAGCTATGGAGTCCCCTGCTAGCCTCCTCATTGTGTTTTTCAACGAACCTGATGTTATCCTCCCAGATAATACGTCTATTGACAGACGTAATAACAAGATCACGTTAATTAATCAAATTTCGTAGAAAATTGTCTTCAAATTATATTCTTAATGAATATTGTATACAATGAACCAAGCTTTCATGTTTTGACATATACAAGAAGAAAAAAGATGCGAAAACTGCGAGGAAGTCTTTGAACAAAAATTTCCTTAATATAATTTACTGTGTTTATAAAAATATCTTGAAAAAGAGCAAACTTTAGAGATCGTCATTAAATGGGGTTTACATCTTTGCAACATTGAAGGTTTTATCGTGTTTACTGGGATGTTTTTTCTTCTAAACTCGGTAACAGTATTCGTAAATTAAGGCACGTAATGCGTGAGCAAAGTGAAGTTTATATTATTTCTTTGTACCATACCTTGTTATCTCTTCATAATATTCATACTGTTTGCTGTATGTCTTTTTGAACGACACCCATTCGTCGTTCAGAAGTGGATCGGTCATAAAGGGTGCGGCTAAGGCACACACGCACAGTACGGATAACAAAGCTAACCTCAACATCTGTTCAAAAAGAAAGAAAATGTAAACAAGGTGATTTACTTAATGCATATTTCGTCTTTTATGTACTATGCATTTTGTTTTGATATCTTTTAAAAAAAATTGCTATCACTCTAATTCGCAAATTTGATAACTTTGTCAGAAATTTTTCTATAGACTGGATACCTTATCTATTTTTAGGTGGTAAACGTCCTCACAACCGCCTGGTTCTTACCATTATATGTGCCAAACGGGGCATATTTAGTAGAAAATACAGCACAGAAGGAATGACTAAAACACGTAAGAAATTGAAATACTAAGATACAGTGTGTCAAAATGAGAAAAGTAGATTCACTGTACTCTCTCCAACGCCCCCTTAGTACAATAAGATCAGTAAAGCTACTCCAGACCTGCAGGGCACCAGATCTACAATACTGCAAGAAAGTCCCTTCTGTAGTTCGTCAGAGATAACCGTAGGAAACTCATCTTTTGTTTCAAAACTCGAAATGGACATTGTGGTCAGCCATGAGTGTGAACTCAACTAAAATTTTGGCATTTACAACTAAAGCATAATCCTGACGACAGTTAATGCATAAGGTCGTTTAGTAATAACATAATATAGATGATGCCGTTATAGGTTTATGTTACAAACCGTAAACATATGTATTTTAGCGATTGCCTAGTTTTAACGAAATATTTCAATCGAAAAACGCTAGAAAGGCAGCCTATTTCGCTAATTGCAGTTTCTGCTAAAATTGATTATTGAATATACGCGAATTTATCATTCCGCTTGCTCACGCAAAACGTATTACATAGGTATAGAAAAAACAATCCTGTGATAAAAAAATGTTAACGTGACTTGTACAGATACATACTGACTACTTATAAAGGAAACACAAAACAATGCAGCAATCATGTATATATTAAAGATATTTGAAATCGTTATTATAACGACAAAATGTTTGAATGAGTATGCGACGTGGTCAGTGATTGGTTAAAGAATGACAATCCTGTTACCAATACAACTTACCGTGCTCTTTCAGTCTCCCACCGGCACTGTGAACTCCTTCAACAGGTGACAATATTTACAGGGACATAGCTCAGCTCGGAGTCACGTGATCCGAGTATTTACTAAGGTACCTAGATAAGGATCAATCTGTCTTAGCGGGTTTTCCCTTATTTCAGGATTTTCTTTTTATTTGATTATATGAATATTTACAAGATGTATAATATATATAGCCCGTAATAAGAATTTTACAACGTGTTGTCAGGAGACGCTTAGAAAAAAAACAAAGAGGCAATTAGGACCATTCATTTTTTTTTTATTTTATGAGCCTGATTTACCTATCGAAACACGAACGATACTGCTATTTGACAACAATATTTTACGGGTCTGAAGTATCGAATTTATATATATATGTACATCTATTAATTTCCTGTCGTCAGAGTTACAATATTTACTAATTTGATATATTGGAAGAAACAAAAACGGACGATTTGCAAATACAGCACGAGGGTCTTTGAAAACAAAACTGCTTTCTCATTTTCGTTTTATTGTAGTTATGGAGTAAAGGCTAATGTTATCGTGTATTTTGTTTTGATTTGTTTATTTGTGTTATCACAAAGGTCAAGTGTAAACTTGTTTTGATGGCGCCAATTATAAACACTTTAAAGCACCAGCGTACTGCAATGTCATAACTAGCATATATGTATATCAACACGACGTTCCACCCAGAACATCATAACAACGGGGAGCTTAATCAGTGATGTAGATTTAGGTCAAATACGGTCATTTCTTATCTGTGTATCTACTTTACTCAGATTTTGAAATCTTGGCAGGGGACATCACGAACTCTGTGTTATCTGGCATCGCACACCCGTCTGTCTGTTTAACACAAATATGACCTCAGTGTACACTGAGTATAGTAAGGTAGCATGGTATCACCAGACATCATTCCTGTGCAGAATACTGTAAATTATCATATTTTGGTAAGACTCATTCGTGTAAATCTAGATTTGTCGTGAATAAGAACTTGAATATGTACTTCTTGTGTAAAACTAGAAATAAGAAATCAACTGTATTGGAAGACAATTAAAATATTTATCACTGAAAAATGGAAACAAGAATTTCTCTTTAAATGATTAAAAATTCGATCATATTTGTATATGATACGCAAGGACTACGTGAATATTAAGGAATGACAACACCAGGCTGCAAATCAATTAAGATAGCCATTTATTTGTATATTTGGTCAGTTTTCTGAAATCGGCAATGTTGCTTTCACACTGCAATCTTAAAAGTTGGATTTCATGTCAGATTTGGAGCTGTTCTAAAGTACAAATTAAGGTTTGCATCGATATGGCAGACAACCATCTAAGCTAGAATATTTTGAAATAAGGAATGAAGTCAGGTTGATTTTTTTATTTTCAACACCCACTCCCCACTATCATTCAGGTTGATATAACTGAACCATTTAAAATGTCTAAATATTGGAAAGCAAATATAGATATGTTTTGTGTGTTTATACGATTAGCATTCAAGCATACAGAATACACAGTATCTTTATTAAGGGAAATCTAAGCTGTAAAAAGGTTACGTACTTAACCAATTAAAAACATTTTCTTATTCTTCAAAATTTTAGTTACGTAACATTCAGCAAGATATTTTGCATATCGTTTATTGAAAATAAATATAATTAAAAAGATAGTGTTCAATATAAGGTTGGTTGTGATTGAATGTCGTTTCTCGGATATTTTGTTGTATTGTAATTTAAGCTGCTAAGAACTGGAATGTGTTGTTCTTTTACATAATGCGTCAATATATTAGTATATTCCTGTGTTGTTTGGCTATTTAATTGCAAATGTCTCCGCTGTCTTGGAAGTAATATGCTTAGCTAGCCCCGTAACAGTAAAAGTATCATAATACAAGATGTACTGATAGTCGAACAAACAAAAAGGAAGATATAAAGTTTAAAATTTTTAATGCATTATTTTCCCGTGACTAAAATGCATGCGATTAAGATTTCTCAATCAGATATGGGACAAATCGATATAAATAAAATCAGATCAAAATGGGTTTTTTTTCTGATCGGTGGCGAGGATGTTTAAATCGGCACAAAATTTGAAACCCCATATAGCTACAGCGGGTTGTCATTGATATTACAATTACAATTAATAACGTGTTCTGTGGGCCAAAACTGATCTGCAGGTAAAAAAATGAATTTGTCAGCACTTTATTTTTGTGGATTTGAAAGTCCTTTTCATAATAGGGGTACATTGAAACTTTGTAAATTATAAATGACATACAATTGTTCCAAACCGGTCTGATGCCATGTTATATAGAAGTGGTTTAGATAGAGAATCTCGTACGTTTGTCTCATTTTTAGTAAATCTTTTACACATTCTGTCCTTGTGATTTTCGAATTCGATCAAGGTCATTCATTTCAAAACGTTACCAGAACTCAGTCTTAGCAAGCTTCAAGCCGAATAACAGCATCATGTCATTTATTGTGAGAAGTCGTTTGAGTACATTTGACACATTTAACACATTTGACATATGTGATCTTAACCTGGACCAAGGTCATTCATTTATATATTATTGGTAGTCCTTTATCATAGCATGCTACATGTTTTGATTAGTACCCCTGGCATTTATGTTATGAAATAAAGTCTTTAGAATATTTTGACTTTATTTGATCCCCGTGCTATTTCTGCAGCGGTTATAGTTTGTATTTAGGGAAAACCCATTGTGAAATATTCTATTTACTTCTGTGATATGAAGCTGGACGTGTTTGCTGTTCGTTAGTTTGACTGTTATTTCCACTCTTGTATACCTGTTTCTCATTTGGACACGTGACATTACGTACTTGGATTGACCACGATTTGCATGGCATATGTCGTCGATGTCACAGAAATCTCTATCGAAAATATCTTTACTTCATCTTCATACTTGTATACATGGTTTTATATTGTTACATATCAACAAAAATGTCAAAACTTATAATTTAGCAATGTAAACTTGCAGAATCGTTGTTAACCGGGGTCACCTTGACGTATCTCTGTTGCTATCTAATTGAATAATTGAGCAACATAATGGATGCCCATTTGATGGCATACCATCTAAATCAATTAGAATAATGTGTTCTGATAAGGACGCAAACATGACAGCAAGGATCGAGATCTTCCTCGGATATCTGAGATACAGAACACAGAAGACAACGAACATTGAACAGTATAGAATGATATGCCTCGTAATTTCGCCTGAGGTAGCATCGACCGTTGCTTTACACATCGAATTATTATAGTTCCATACGGTAAATTACTTACATTTCGCGTGGGATATATTTCCATATTAATGCACTAGGACAGTCAATCGCGAATTCAAATCTTTCGCTATTATTTCTAAGGAAAACAATTCTAAATTGCATCAATTTCACTAGGTTACCGATATCGGAGTCGCGTTGAGTTCGTGCCTCTAATGGCTAATTATTCACGAGTTTGAAGTTATTTCAAGATCAGAATGCGCGAAATCCTGTATTTGCGAGTTTGACTGGAGAGTTAAGTCTGTGAAATAAAGTATACGGTAAATGTAAATTATCTGCCGCGTTCAACATTTAAGCTCTGTAAGTCTACATCGAATGCTATAGAATGTAAAGATTAAGGAAAAAACCCAAAGCTTTACAAAAAAGTAATTTAATTTCAGAAGAAAACAAAATCACAAACAGCAAATTACAATACGATGACAATGTATTACATTTGATAGAGATATAAGGAGATTGCAGTTTAACAGAAACAACACAAAAATATTGAATGAATATAACATGAATTTGCATGCTACATTTTATGATTTTATGCTTATTTGTAAACACTCTATGCTGTTTTTTTCAAAAAGAGTATTTTGTTCATGTCAAACACGTCGAACAAAAAATAATATTCTATGTATTGCAAGACTTAGGTGTAGTTGTATTCCCAATATCAATATCTTGGCAAATATCAGTAAGTCATTTAATTTGTTGGACAGCTAACGAGTTAACATTATAGCTGATAGTTAGTCTTTAAACGGTAGGGTAGCTGGCCTGTGTTGCGATTCCACACATATTTTTCTCGCTCCTTTCGATGTTAAAGTAACCCTTCATTCCCCAGGATTTTCCCCAGCTGAAATAAAAAGAATAAGTATTGAAGACAAACTTGTATTTCGTAAGCATAGAACTACAGCATAAATGTTTTGTAAAAAAAGCAAATAAGTCAAAATGTTATGTTTGAATATGTTTACTTAATAATAAATTTTTATAAACGATTAATTTCTTGGTGTGGAAATTCAAATAAGAAAATAATAATAAGTAATAATAACACCCGACGTAAATAATAAATAAATGAGAGTTCATTTTCAACAACTCTATCTAGGAAAAAAAATAGCTGGAAAGGAAAACCGTTAATATAATATGCAAATATACCAAACAATGCAACTCAGTGTAAAACTAAAGCTGTATATAGTTATGAACATTACCTGTTCTTCATGATCCAATAATCCTCTTCACCTTCCGATCCGTACCCAACAACAAGGACTCCATGATCTAGCTTAGTGGAGCTACACTTGCGTTCTTTGTATACTCCTGATCTGTATAGCTGGAATGATGGGTGACTGGCGTCCATACCAGCGGAAATTGGTCCAATGGTAGATACTGCCTGCTGCAGGGATGAGACGCTTTTACTCTTTACGTCAACAAAACCTGTGTCAGTTGCACCAACGTTGTTGGCTTCGAACTTGCACTTACCATCCTGAGGAAAAAAGACACTTTTGTATATGACACCAATAATCAGAGACAATCGATATTGAAAATGTATGCAGCAATTGTATTTGATATTTGTAATATTAAACATGGAACAGAGCATTTTTAAAGGATATGTCAACATAATTTTGGTTGAATTTAAAATTTGATGAAATTAGGGAAAATAAGAATTAAAAAAAGATTCACGCAAAAGACATGGAAAAGAACTAGAACAAGATCAGATGTTTCTAAATGGTAAACTTATTTTGCTTATAATTAAACATACCTTTCCACGGTAAGGGTATGACTCTTCCGTGTCAATTCCCTTGTTCTCTTGTATGTATTTAAAACCGAAGTCCATTAAACCTCCTTTGCATCCGTGGTTTCCTAGAAAGAGTAAAGAATCACCGATTGGAAAATGCAAATTGCATAATCTAATAACAGACCCCTTTGCGTGAGTTCAGAAAAGTTCGTCTGTATTATTTCAACTTTATTATTTTTCAGACATTGTTTTGCGACCAATCGGCCAAACATTAAAATAATTTAACCTTATTACTAGTTTAATGCTTCAGTGTTATACCTTTCATTACAAAGAATACAATTTCGGAGCTTTCATTTATGCATACCCTGTTTCTTGGAACAATCAACGAGATTCTGTTCTGACAGGGAAACCAGTTTTCCAGTCTTTTTAAAAGTCTGTCCTTCCAGTGATCCGGTGGTAGAAAATGCCCAGCAAGACCCGCATTGTTCCTATAGCAAAGGAAAGTAGATTTAATTTAATTGCATATTTACAGTGCTTGAACACGTTTTTTTTTCTACACAGTGCGTTACATACTTGTTTGATGGTTATGGACTGACCTGATTTTTGACCTCTGTGACGTAGCCCTTTGTCCTCCAGTCTACTGAATCATCGGTGACTGTTGCGTCAGATGCATCGAAGATGAGTGATGACGTCGAGTTGCGCATGATAAAACCGTTCATCATTTTTACAAACTCACGACTTGTCTGCAAGATGAAAGATGTTTGCAATATGTTATGCGCCAGCGACGGTTTGAGTTCAAAGCAACACAAACAGATCAAGGTGCAATAAAATTAGACTTTTCTGTCTTTATTTTGATAAGTACAGGCATTTAAGTGATAATTGATATGGTTTTAAGAAGCCTCTTTCCAAAATAATCACATATAATGGCAACACAACATATACACGACAATAAGACATAGCTTTTATCACATATATCAAACATACCAGATCTCCGTACTCGTTCATTCCAGTTGTAAAGGTGTGAAGTCCGTTTGCAGCCTCCAGATTGTGCTTCTGGACATATCTGGCATTATCTTCCCAGATTATACGTCTAAAACAGAATTAATGTATCTATGTCATATCATCTCATTGAGAAATATTCTTTTTGTGATGCAAAGTTGGATTATTTTATTTTCGCTATTTTCCTGCAAGTTCCATTGTTATTTACCTTCTCATTTCGAAACTTAACATCACTTACTTGGATAGACCAAGTCTATAGCGGATTTCGTGGATAAAGTAAAAGACGCTTACCCTTCTGAAACATCTGGTCTTGTTCGTCTTATACAGTTTCAGACGACGCAGTTTCAATATTTCTTATGTTCGTATTTTGTTCTGGTTTCAGTGTGTTTTAATATTCTGTTAACTTTTAATTATCAAAACACCTATATAATGCAGGTTATTTACTTGTTTTTTTATATTGTGTTTTGCATATTTACAAGAAACTGCCGATTGTACAAAAGACACGTATAAAGAGCAACGTTTCATTACAAAAATTGGAATTGAGCTATAACACAAAAAACCCTTTTACCATATCAGGTCTTGTCAGTGATACACATTGCATTATTCTTGAAACCTAGTAGGCCAGTTAGGAAGATCAATATTGGTCCAAACAAATGTCAAGAACTAATTGGTGATTAGGATTAAATCAATATGTGATGAATGCATTAAATTTCAAAATGGAATAATTTCAAGTCATATGTATATTCTGAACCGTGGCAATATTCAAATTGAAAGAAAACATGGAATAAATCAAATGACATACCCCCTGGACTAAAGGTACATGAGAAGTGTCAACAGTACAGCTTACCTCATCAGCTCCTCATGTTCTTCATACTGCTTGTTGTATGTCCTCTTAAAAATTGTCCACTCTTCATCCAGAATAGGATCAGTGAGCGGTGTAGCGATGGCACACACGTACAGTACGGATAACAGAGCTAGCTTCAACATCTGTCAAAAAAAGGTAAATATTGACATATATAGTATATCTATCAGTTTTGATTTGTGCAAGTATTTGCTTCTGCCTGAATGAACGGCAGAGTCATGTGCAAATAATAACAAAAATATATAAAAATATAGGGACTTTCCCTCAATCTAACTCGATCTAAATCTACAGGTGTCCTTATTGCAATCGATATTAATATTTTGTTACATCTAACCCCTCAGAAAAGAAATGGAAGTCAACTTTCTTTTTGTCTGAATCTACAATTGAGTATTTTGTGTAAAACAGAGACCAAAAAAAATAAAAAATAAATAAATAAACACGTGTTTTTTCGCCCAATGTATCTCCAATGACTAAAAACAGATTCACAAAGTCCCTCTTTTCAGCCGATTCTTAATTATTAGATAATAACATTTTACTCTAAGAAAAAAAGATAAAGATATAAACTTCTTTATTGGTGTGACTATCTCGTGTAACAGCCTGCGATCAAACTCACCTTGTTTGTTTAAGGAATCAGCCGAGAATGTAAAGTCTTTAGAAGACAAGCTGCCAAATATATATAGGTGAACTAGCTCGGTACCACGTGATCCTAAAATGTTTTGCAGGGTAACGAGAGATAACGATTCACACACCCATCACGTTGTTAGAACACACTAAGACCTTTCTGTCGTATATATTGCCATAACAAATTATATAATGTATGTATATTGAGTTCAAAGTCCAACCTACTTCTGTTCATGTATTTTTCTAACCTTAGATAAACAACGTTGAAAACCATTTGTTTTATAATGCAAAACTCTTTTGAACGGCCATTGTTGATTGTAATACAGAACTGCTTATGAAATTGTCCACTTTTTAAAGAACAAAACATTGCCTTCAAATGTTATATTGTGTTATGCTACATTACCACTTTTTTCAAAAATAAAATAAGATCGCATCCCTAAAATGGACGGAGTCGTCCTGAAGGTTTCCGGATAGGTAATCAATTCTATACAAATTTTATCTCAATTCTAAAACGTACTTTTAAGAAGAAAAAAACCCCGCAATACATGTACATCTCATGGTTCTGAGATTTTGAAAGTGTTTAGTTTTATATTTACTGAAAGTTTCAAGGCATACTAAATTAAATCCTGTTTTACATTTACATATTTAAAACTTTTCGTTGTTTTAATTTTACTGCATTAGAGCTGATTTTTTTGTTTATTTTTGTGTCGTTTTTTTTCTTCAATCTATTTTTAATGTTCTAATTTTTCAACCCTGACGATCCATGTTTTATTGATAAGCGATTGTAATAATAAAAAAAAATATATATATGTCCTATTTTCAGGCCACAATTCAAAATGATTAGTATGACATTTGATATCATTTTACCTTGCAAGTGGTATCGAAGATTGTTCAAAACATAACAGAAAATATGACGATTCAACTTTTGCATAACTTGGTTTTATTCTTTTGCATAGGCCGAATAACTAATAAAACTGACTCAAAAATTTTCCCTCTACAGAAATATTCAGTGTAGCCAATGTCATAAGTATGGATATTTGAATTGTGAGTTAAGAAGATTCAAATTATATTAGGCGAGATATATTGGGAAAGCTACAACGAATTACGTTTATCCAGAAAATTCATAAACATAATATTTGGCGATTTTGATAGAATGTTGAGTAGCAGTATGAGGTCATTGTTTGAATGTAAGTTTGTTGAACATTACACAAGAGTATGGCAAAGCTCGTGAGTAGACCAAAGTCCACCAGAAGAGAGAGGTAATCCTTGTCTCTTTTAACCGATAAAACATCATCCATTACGCCTTATCTATCTTTATTGACGTTTGAAGGACATGAAACCAATAACGGACAAAAGACAGACTGTAAAAGACTAATACCAAGGTTACAGTATAGAGGACAGTTCGGTTTTATTTGTATTAAGTAAGTCATGTTTTCGGATAATGCATTGCTCAGTCACGTGGATACCTGGTTCAACTCGCATGAACACAATGTTGTACCTGCATGCAATTCAGTGCCCTAAATCATTTAGCTGTATGTTTCTGTCATGGTCAGAGGATGTCTGTTAACACGAAAATGAAGAAACATAATCGAGAAATCTATTTAAGAAAAAGGGATTTATTTTTAACGTCGATTCAAACAAAGCAGACTGATATTGTGTAGTTCCCTAAAATTTGCGCAGGCTTTTGATATATTTGAAGTGTGACATCATGTCATATTTCCAATGTTCATATCTGTAGGAAATAAAACCTTTTTCTAATACATGCAAAAGTGGCGATAGAATATGTTTCAGAACGCATGATATTATTACAAGATTCTTTATTAATGTGCGATATTTCTTTCGGATTATTTAAACTTTCAACTTAACATTTCCGACTGAGTTCTTTAATCAAACGGTCTGATATAAAAATTATCTTTGTGACAATTTATCATTCATTGCCAAACAGCACCACAGAAATAAATCAATACCTCTATCAAATAAATATTTTTGAAAAACTGAAATAGATTGATCTCAAATTTTAGTACAAAGCTTCTGGATTTAAAATAACACAGATTATCAGTTATCCTGACTTTTCTGTATATCCCTGTATCAGTCGTTCATTTAACATCATGATTCTTGCTTCTTTGCTGTCCATACATATTACCGTTATAGAAAGGCAAATTCATCTTATTTTTTAACAGAGAATGATGTTTTTCATAAAAGAAATATGGGTCGCCAGAAAAATAGCTCTATCATAAAATAAACAACATTTACCCTTCCTGACCCAATATGATAACGTTATCATGTCATCAAACCCAAGCAAGACGGATAATCCAGTTTGGCAGAATTTTTTCAGCAAGTCTTTACAATCCTAGAGTTCTTGTGAAATATACATTAATCTTACTGTTTCTTTCGTCACTCATTCATTGTTAGTAATTCTTAATGCGATGACGTCATGATGATTATGACGCGGTAGTTATTGTGAACGTTTTGCCCGAAGTCGCCTATTTATATCTAATATCGTATTGTTCGTCATAATGTTATTGGATACACAAAGGTATTGTACAATACATTGGAATAAAAACATACATTTGCTAAACAACTTTAACGCAGCAAGAGTGAGAATTCCTAGCAGAAGTAGTATCGTTCTTTGTGTTGGAGCAAATATCCCGAAAAGCATGATATATGTCTTGTACATGGATTAATTTCTAAGGTTTAATTGTTTTCCATAATTAACACTGAACACATATTCTTAGTTGCTGTTATGGCTGTTTTATTAAGACAAAAACGAAAACATTAAAACTATATTCATATTGTGTTCGAGAAGAACACAAATAATTGATGTAATTTAACACATTGCTTGGCTCTACTGTGTCTAATTCTAAACTTGTATCAAAATGTGTTATGCTGTAACATCGCCTCAGTTAAACATAATGAACTTACTAAAACTGAATTTACATTTTAATGGTTTAGACATGATTTTTTTTATTTAGTGATATGGTTTTGGTATCATATGTAACATATAGAGGCTGTACTTAGCACAATCATTGCTAATGTTATTGCATACATCTGTAACGTAATGGCATGCAGAGTGCATTTGAACCAATGTTGGACTCTGTTGCATCTAACTCTAAACATGCATGAAATGTTGCTATTCACTATTGACGTTTGTAAAATCTTTGATAAGTATTCATAGGAACCAACAAAATGATATGATACACTTGCAAACATGTTCTATACGTGAATTTCTTTCGTAAAATGGTCGGGTAAAACAATGCAATTTAAAACATATCTAAATTCATATTTAAGACAGAATCCCACTCAAATAAGCATGTTTTCATATAGATGTGTAATCCTGAAATAATATTCTTCATCATAAATCAATGATTTACAATCATTTCTTTAATATGAAAAGAAGTAACAGCCCATGGTCGTCTTTTAAAGATTGCATGTCTGCAAAATATCTATAAAGGAAAATCCATTTCTCTGCATCAGAATTAGTTCCTTCCAAATGGTATCTAATTCGGGTATAAGTGTCCTACAATAAATACAAGCGTCAATGGAGGTCATTTCTTATCTCTGTTTCAACTTCACCTATATCTTAAAGATTAGTGGTGGACTTAAACTGTCAAGAATCTCAAGTAGGGAGATATGTTTATCAAAAACAAGTCTCCATATCTGCTGCGCCAGATGAACTTTCACAACAATGGGACTGATCATCCTTTTTATTAACCGTACTTGTCTTTTTTCAAACATGATTCATCCTATACAACCCACCAAAGAAAATAGAAAACAAAAATAAAAAAAATATAAATAAACGGGTGGATAAAATGTTAGCTCATATTTAATATTGACTAAGGACACCAAACGAAGACACAAAAACACTTCTTTGTTAAAGACAATCAAAGAAAAACTATAACAGAGTAAGACCACGCATTTCGAAAAATTATTTGTACTTTTGATCTATCCAAGGAATGTTATGACACTATCGAAATGTTAACAATGCAGTCATATAAATGAACCTAATACCAAAGTACATTCATTGTCTAAACATCCTTCACTCGTTGTTGTACTGCTTTGAAAAAACTGATATTCTGTACAATGGGTGGAACAAAAGACACATACGGGAACAACATATTTTCATAATTAAGAGTAATAGAGCCAAAAAATTAGTTAAACCGCATCATACGACTGGATCTTCCTTACAAGACTCGTCGTTGATGCTAATAGCCTAGGAGTTGACTAAGTTGACATAGGAAAATCCAAAATAATCAAAAGGAAAGTCACAGTCCAGACGGGGATAAGCAAAAGCATCATAGTTAAATAAATTTCGTCATTTTCATATATCAGATCATTTTAGAACAGCGTCAAGTACATGTGTATATTCTGAACCGTTTCACGCGCTAGGTAACTACATTAAATATTTTGGTTTGTAGGTCATTGCTTCGTCATTGCTTAGTGTTAAGGCATAACAACGTTGTCAACGTCCCGAGCGAAATCGGTCAAGATGAGGTAGAAATGATGTGTCTTGGATAATTCGCGTGTAAATAAATTATATGTTTTGAAAATATAACATAACAAATATTTGTGTTTAATGGCAAAATATAGAACGTGATACTGATAAGAACACTCTATCAGCATATTAAAACATACCCGCACATACCCGCACATACCCGCTGATTTTTGTCATAGTAACGATTGCTTTAATGGAACTGTACCCTTATAGTCTTCACTTTAAGTTAATGGCAAAATATAGAACATGATACTGATAAGAACACTCTATCAGCATATTAACTTCACCCTTGTATATCCTTCAATCTATCTTATTTAGAATTAATATATTCTTTAAACATTTAAGCAATCACATATAATGTATATTTTAACGAATTGTCATCAACGGAAGAACGTATCGGTCGTCAAATGATATTTTAGAAAGTATCTTTACAATACATCAGTTTAGATTTCAAAACTCACAGCTGGCATTTCCAACGAGTTAATCTAGGTAATGAATTAATGAAATTTGATAAAATATTTATCTTGTACTATAAAGAGTTATACCAATAATTGATAAATCAGATGTAACAAAAAATAAATAAAGAATAAAGATTATTTAAAATATTTATTTTAAGATATATTTACACTTTCTTACATATTCTTATGTTTTTTTCGCTTTTTGTATATGGACAGCACGAATTGTGTTTCACCTGTGTATATGTTACTCTTTTTCATACGATTAAAACCATTTATTCTGGATAAAAAATATTGAATTCAGAAAGTGTGTGAGGCTGAGGTATGTTCGCGTAAATCTCTATTTGATAGAACGGAAGAGTCATAGTTGTCAAATTCTCCAAACCGATATTTGTCAGAATTAAAAGTGATTGAAAAAAACATATCATGACGCAAACAATGAATATTTTATTTCAAAAATAAAAACAAAATGAAATTTTACTAACGACATTTGGAATGAAGAAAAAAATTCAGATGATAAACTTGAGTTTTTTTACACAGCTGGGTAGCTTGCTTGAGTAGCCAGTCCACACATGTTGCCTGCATTACGTGCTATTTTGAAATATCCTTCCATTCCCCATTTGGCTCCCCAACTGAAATGGATTGAAAATAATGGACATTTGAACATGATTATCACCAGTGAACAATATTATTTCAGTCTAAATCATAAGTTTTAATTGGACTTTTAACTACGTAGGAAACATTAAGGATCAAGCGATGGATAACACTGACGTATTGGTAGCAATGCTAAAGGCACACTTATTCGATTTATTATTACAATATAAGACTGATACTGTAATAGAAAGGAATGGAGTGAAGATATATTTAATAATATGTTATATAACATATCTAGATGATCCATCAAACGGAAAACGACCGATTTATATTATCAGAATATGTCGAATTTTCAAATATCAAAGCGACTGACTATTGCATAATATTAAACAACCAATGTATTCGCTCATAGCTTTACCAGGTGCAGTAAATATTAATTTTATTCATTTTGATGTAATATTTATATAAGTGTTATCTTTTTATGTTTAATTTGTAATTTCATCCACGTTTTCACGATTATTGATGGTGTGATCAATAAAAACAATACATAACATTAACATGTCATAGTAATGTGATTGATAACAACGTATAGAAGGGAGATAACTTGCCTGTTCTTCACCAGCCAGTAATCTTTGCCGTTGTCGGTACCGTATCCTACAGCTAGTACTCCGTGATCGAGTCTGGTAGAGCTACACTTCTTTTCTGTGTAGATCCCAGTTTTGTAAAGTTGGAATGAACTGTGACTAGCGTCCATTGCAACGGATATTGGTCCAACAGTTGCGACTGCGCTCTGGAGATCAGATTCACTCTTACTCTTAACATCGGTGTATCCGGTGTCTGTAGCTCCTACATCGCTTCTTTTGAATTTACAGAAAAATCCAGTCTGAAAAAAATCATACATTCTGATAACCATCAAACATTGAGAGTCAAACATTATCTGCAAGTACCATTCAAATATGCATATATAGTTCTCTGATAACATTATTCCGAAAAATAAAATCTTGTCTGTTTATCTTCGCCGTACAATAAAAAATAAATTCTAGAAATCTTGGGATCCGCCATTGTTTGATCTTAATGTGTACGGGTTTTTCTCCTTCTTTAACCTCCTTTCATCTTCATTTCGAAATCCCCGAAAATTCTGTAATAATCTATAATTGCAATATTCAAGATGGTCGTCTTTTGGACGTTTTGTTTTTCTGATCAACCCAGCACAGCAAGGGACAATAAAGAATCAAAATAAGACATTCGACAAAGATCCACGAAGTACTTCTAAAGGAAAAATGACAACAAACTTCCATTGTTTGATTTCAAAGTTTGCCCTCAGTCAGCCATTTCCTGTTTTCAGCCGTCTCAAAATCACATGGTCATAACCAGGGACCAAGAAAAAATAGCACATAAATTATAGAAAGACGTGGTGTTTTACTCACATGTTGTTTATGGAATAAATCTAAATCTTTTTTATAAACAAGAATGTCAAGATACCTTAGTTTTACAGGGGAGCTGAAATTTAAACAGGTAGTGTAAGGAAACTAGGGCGATGATGCACATTCCATGAATACCTTTCGATGACTTTATATCAGCCATGATTGTAAAAAATGGAGTATATGTAATTACCCTAGCAGTGTATGGGTACGATGACTCGGTATCAATTCCATTATTGATTTTAATATACTTGAATCCCTGGTCCATCAGTCCTCCCTTGCATCCATGGTTACCTGTCCAATGATACATATTTGAAATAAGTCACTTTTCATGTCAGATATTATTAGGATGACCAAAGAAAAGACAGGTAAATGGATCTTTTAGCCATCAAAGTTCTATTTTAAGTCAGAGAGTCATTCAAAGCTCAAAGTGAGTAATGAAAAAGGACATTTTTGTCTGATTACATACACGTATATAGATGTGTGTATACTTGTAACAACGGTTTTATACTCTTATAACTTTGTACAGGGAATACAGCAAATAACACAACTATTTGGAGAATAATTGAAGTATCCCATTTTTCAACAATTTAGATCATTAGCATTTCAAATAAATTATAGAAAGACGAAACAGCTGTGCGGTAAAGTAAAATTAAAGGTTTTAAATCTCTAGCGATTCTATACTTTTTAAAAACTTTTTTCTAATTACTTTTAAAACAGTTGTTAGTATCGAAATATCTCTCTTGTGGTCAATATGGGCCAAACCGACTAAATGTAGTGCATCGGAAATCCGGAAGTGAGAGGTCATTGGATTATATATTATATGTAGAGTGTGTATGATTTTGTCTTCAATTTCGTCTGGTGATATAACTGTCTTACTTTATTAAACTTATTTTCTGTTTTCATATTTTTAATAATTTACACAAACAATACATTCTGTTCGACTTATAAAAAGCAAACCTGTTATAACGCAATCAAGGCCAAGGGAACGTTTGGTATCTGATATAGCTATATTTGTAAAGAATTTCCACAAATTTAGTAAAATAAGTTTGCTTCAATCGTAAACTGAGGTACACGATTTCCACAGGACCATAAGTAGATCATTAGGTGTAATGTTCTTCAAACACACCCAATGACATCTTAACTTATGTGGATTGTCCCATTGCAGATTTCACCCCACTGCATCTGATTATAGATGCTGAAAATGGTTATTTAATTGCTTGTTTTGTACAATCATGGAGGAAATGATCCTTCTGGTGTCCCACCTCGATTTGATAAATAATTAAAATATGGTTTAATTTGGAAGTGTTTCCTTTGAACAACGAAGCAGGTAGAGAACTAGTAAAACAAATGATACGAGACATTTTCTATAATTCCATAACAAAATGACTGAATATGTACCTTGCCATATATGGTCTGGAAACATATTTTTCACGACACTTGAAAGATAATAATACACTGTATGTATATGGAAATGCAAATTAAATACTATCCGACTGCACACGTTAATAAACAGTAAATTAGAACGTTAAATGTACCTTCACGAGATGAGCAATCCACAAGATTCTGCTCAGAAAGTGACACCAATTTTCCGGTCTTCTTAAAGGTTTGTCCCTCGAGAGATCCAGTAGTGGAGAAAGCCCAGCAAGAACCACATTGTCCCTATCAGAAATAATTTTGCTCAGAATTATACCAATTGGAATTTGATTGAATTTATTTACTTTTTATAAAAAAGTCATATTTTAAACAAAAAAATAAGCGCAATCACCTTAACACCGTATATGATTTACATTATCTTTTTTTACCCTGTCATTGTGCGGAATGTAGAATTGTTTTATTCTATATTCTTACCTGAAACATCCATTGCAATATCTTTTTGTTCGAAAAATTATAGACGATAACATCTTGTACATTTTTTTTACCGAATATCTGTTGTTTACATTCTTTGCATTTTAAAAGTACCTTATTTCCATAAAAATCCCTTAACTTTAGATGACTGCATTTTCATCACTTACCTGATTCTTCACAGGTGTGACATAGCCCTTAGTTCTCCAGTCGACCGTATCAGGGATATCGACGTTGCTTGGAGGGAGGAAGAGGCTTCCTTCAGTAGTGTTTCTCATGATATAACCATTCATAGTTTGAACAAATTCCTCGTTTGTCTGTAAGAAAATTGCATGTGTTTATGTCATGTATTTACTTATTCTCAATCTATGTTTTGAATTATCATGATCGATCATGTGATTACTTGTAGATAATAAATTACATTTGCATAACTCACTAACACAGACCCTTGACAAAGAATTTTTTGTGTTGGTGTTTTTTGTACTCTAAAGGTCATTCTATAAGGATGGTCTCCTTGGTTTATTGTGGCGCTTGCAGTAACGTCTGTTATATATATATATATATATCAAAACGTAGAATTTCTGTTACTTCTTTTCATTAATACTTACCATGTCTCCATATTCGTTCATGCCCAAAGTGTAGGTGTGGAGACCTCGGTCATACTCCAGATTGTGTTTCTGGATCAAACGAATGTTACTTTCCCAGATCTGTCGTCTGAATTTTAAAAAATACATTCAAATTTTTCATTGGTTTTCAGACACTTGATTTTAAAAGCTAATGTTGCAAACTCCTTTTCAGAGGTGTCAATCACTTGTGTGACTATTTTAACCTATCATTCTTAGTAACTTTTCAACATTTTAGAGAAACGGCATCAATACGGCACAGGAAGAAGTTTTCCGTCGATGTTACTGAAAGTATTACATGTATTGGTTTGGTTTGAATATCCTTTTATTTTTATTTTGCCCTGAAAAGTATACCCAGGAAACATTATGTTACCCTTAGAATCATAACAAAAATTCCTCCATATCAAATGTTTATATTTCGAAGATCTACTTATTTATTTAAAACATTTTCACAATGATAATCATTGTTTTACGTTAAGTTGACAAGAAATTGTCTGTTCTGAAAGATTAAGCAACATTATATTGAAAAAAGTGAACTTAAGTGATAGTAAGGTAGAAATATATATCTGAATCAGAACCTGTCTTTGTACAGTTTACAAAACCCAAAGTTGATTTACAATTATAAATCACCTCATCATCGCCTCCCCTACAAGGTTATACTCCTTCTTGTACATGGACTTGAAGATGTCCCATTCGTCATCAAACCTGACGTCAGTGATGGGCACAGCAAGTGCTGCTACCAGCAGAGCGGCGATACAGACCAATCGGATCATCTATAGCATAACAAAGATATAACAGAGGTAATAACTCTTTGTAGCATGGAAAACATAAATCATTGATAATGTGACATAGAACAAAAAGAGAAAAGGAAAAAAAACATTCGTAGAGTAGCTGAAAAAAACCCAGTCAGTATTGATTTAGCATAGCCAAGCTAATGAGTTTCCTGTAAAATCATCAATTTTTGTGGAGACTTATTTTCGTTTAAAATCTTATTCTACGAATGCTCATGAACGGAAATAATTTATTAATTCGTGTGCACCCACCTATCGAATATTCAACAGTGACGTTTGAAGAAATAAAACAACATGAAAATAGATATTTCTACAGTTAGTAAGTTTATAAAAAGTTACTTTCTAATGATCATGTAATAGCAAAATATACCTCAGTCAGTCAGGAAAGAACGTAAGGTGCAATAATTCAAATCTAGATAAGACATATCTAGAGAAGACATATTTATTGAAGGCATATCTAGAGAAGACATATCTAGAAATGACATATTATTGAAGACATATCTAGAGAAGACATATATGGAGAAGACATTTCTAGAGAAGCGTATCTAGAGAAGACATATCTAGAAATGACATATTTATTGAAGACATATCTAGAGAAGACATATATGGAGAAGACATTTCTAGAGAAGCGTATCTAGAGAAGACATATCTAGAAATGACATATTTATTGAAGACATGTATGGAGAAGACATTTTTAGAGAAGCGTATCTAGAGAAGACATATCTAAGTACGACATATCTAGAGAAGACATATCTAAGTACGACATATCTAGAGAAGACATATCTAAGTACGACATATCTAGAGAAGACATATCTAAGTACGACATATCTAGAGAAGACATATCTAGAGAAGACATATCTAGAGAGGACATATTTAGAGAAGACATATCTAGAGAGGACATATTTAGAGAAGACATATCTAAGTACGACATATCTAGAGAAGACATATCTAGAGAAGACATATCTAAGTACGACATATCTAGAGAGGACATATTTAGAGAAGTAATACCTAAAGAGAACATATCTAGAGAAATATTATCAATGATCCTCAGTGGAGACAATATTTGACCACATCAGGAAATTATTGCGAAAATTGATCATCCTTTGCCACCGTTATGTTCTAAGTAAACTATGGTCAGTTGAACTAGTTCCCTTGATTCGATAAGTCGATATGACAGCCATATCAGTTCATTTTTATGTCGTAATAAGTAATTTTGAAATATATGGATGTCAAAAAGGGGAAAATACGTTTGTCATGTTCAGTAATGCGTTTTCGGGCTGCATTTATATCCCTGATGAACATATATCAAGTAAATTTTCGCTAATCTTTATATAGGTTCGAGCACATATCGAGCATACACTTTACGTTATCTGACTGATTACAGAGCCACATAATATTGACCTTCGGGTCAATGTATCTCTCGGCGGATAAAAAAGTACAATGTCGTTACAACGTATAGTATAACCTTTGTATGCAATATGATCACAACTAACAGTCAACACGTGATCGATTTAATAATGTTATGTTGAAAGTTTAAATTTATATTCATTTACAACCAAATAAAAAAAAACACTTTTACTTCGAGTCAATATAATCATAATTCATAATGTAAACTTGAATTCAATGAAACTAGGGCGAAATATGGATAAAGAAAGATTTAAGTGGAGACTCCTAAAAAAGTACAAGGCAAAATAAGACCAGATGCTCTGAAAGAGTAAGCATCTTATGTTTCATCGAAGGCACCCGCCATGTAAATCTTTGTCAATCCGGGAAGTATGGTCACGTTCTCATATGAGAACAAGGTATACAAGACCGGAACCAACTAGTAAATTAGCGGGCATCAAACACGTCCATTTTAATCTCGATTATGAAACATAACATTCTTTGAATGAGATCACTATGACTTCCGTAGACCGTAATAATTTTTTCATCAACCTGTAGCTTTCGTGTTACGGGTTTGTCCGTAAGTCTATGATTTCCTGAACGAAAATCGTTATAATGGAACAGACACTTTAATAACGAACCAACTGCGATTTGAAACCATCATATGTTATGGAAGACACAAGAATTCTGCTTTCAAGAAATGGAATATTCACAATAGGGAAGTTGAAAGATGTATAGTTTAATACATATCATTTATCCACTTGATATCGAATTGTATATTTAGATCGAATGCGATATGAAATATGCGATAAATGAAATAGTCTTCCTTGTAATCAATCCCTAGATATTGATAATTTTTACGGAATTACACTTCCAAGATGGCGACAATGACTAAATCGATCTGAACGAAATTTGATGCATTGAATAAATCCACTAATGAAATGCATTTGAAATAAAGAAATGCGGAGACTAGAACAGCTAACATGTAATAAAAAATGAATGGTTTCCCCAAAGGTACTCTAGATACACGAGGTATCTTAATGCTTCATTAACAACAATGCGGTTTATAAAGACCAGTAAGTATAAACAGTGTGACGTCGTAAAGGAGCAGGAAAGTGAAATATGGTCTTGTAATAGAGGTTTAACTATGTCTCTTTACAATAGCGAGAAAATATCACCGAGGTTGACAACGCATCAAATAGATCGATGTTACATTCACCAAAATCGTAATTTCGCAAAGCCGAAAAAGTAAACCAAGAATTTAAAGTCAGAAGAAGTACTGTTAAATGTACGTTACCAAAATTCACTATACATTATACATTTCAATATGTGCATAAGTGTAAAATTCACGATCTATACATGAGAACAACGATAAAAAAAATCAGTGATATTAATCAGTACAAAATCTACCTTCGTGTAATCTTCAAGTCAGGTTCAGGTCCAGAGTGAAGTGCCGTGACTACAGAGTGCAATTTATATGCATCCATATCATTTAGTGGATACACTGTGTGGGGGTTGTTCAACACGCCATTTGCTTTTGCGAGTACGCAGTCAGGTGGAAATTACAATAATGTAACAAAATTACCTAAGAAACCAAAGTATTCATGCCAGGTTTGAATAAATTCATCAACTTGAGTAGTTGTAAGGTTCAGAAGAAAAAAAAACAATGTTGGAAATTATTGACTTAGATCGTGAGTTAAGTTTTTTTCTGATTTTCTGATCAATTGTGATCATTAGTAACATCCTATGCTTCAAACGTAAGGCCTTTGGCATCAGGGACAAGTCCTAGAAGGTCGAAACAGCGGTATGTCTCAGCTTGAGATTTCTGTAAGATTGGAATTTTTAAAGGTATTTGTAAATGTTTGAGTCTTTTGTGCAGTCATTGTTTGAGAACAATATGACCTTTTGATGATGGTATACTGTCCAAAATAGTACTTCAATATTTAAAACCAAATATGAAAAGGTCATCTCCACAAAGGGATTCAATTAATAATTTTGAAAATTGTTTAGTATTTTTTTTCTTGTGTGAATATCTGAGTTTTGTTTTCGATTATAGGACCATCCAAAGACATTTCTATAGTGAATCATTTTGTAATGTTATCGCAACATAACAAAAATTTTGTGTCATGATTTATTTAACAAAATGCCAGGGAATGCCTTAGAAATAAATGCAAATTATATCAAAGACTGTATGCAAAATTAAATAGAAAAAATAATGAATACCAAAATTTTCTTCGAATGATTGCACTTATTCAATTCATACGTCAATTATCAGTTAGTGCATTGTTCATGGTGTGACATGTCATCTGTTTAAACACATGATTGACTCGGTCCTGTGACACTTCACGGGATCTCTTCCTGTTATATCTTGTGATTTGTATCATGTTGGGATCAATTGATATGCAGATATCATTATCACAAATCAACCACAAATGTTTACAATGTGCGCTCCGATATAGATAATATCACGACGGATTGAGATATTACTTATCATTATAATCATAATACTGCAAGTCACCCGGCCAAGCCAACAATCAAATGTTGTTAAGTAATTTATGTATCAATTATGATACTGAGTATCGTTGTTTACTATTGAAAAAAACGTGTTTACTAACCAGCTAGCCTGATACACACTTTATACTTTCTAGTATGAATAATATGGCGTTGAATTATTGATGTATGTTGTAACAAATTTTCCTATCTGAGCTTGAAAAGTTTTCCTACATCACATTTTTAACTTTAGCAAAATCACAACTTCATAAAAACACTTATTATAAATAAATCGGCGATTGCCTTATATGAAGCAGAAGACCTTTACTTTGTTTTAATAATTAACATGGCAGGAACATTTAGAGTCATCTATGACTGGTTAAAAAAAGTAAAAATGTGACGTAAAATAATAAAACAAACTTTCTCCCAATCCAGCTGGCTTCACAGTTTTAATGTATAGGGTGTATGTTTCTATATATATATATATGTTCATATGTTTGTTAAATTTAGAGACACACAAATCGTCTAACTCTGAGAGATCAAAGTTATTAGATAAAAAAAACATAATTAATTTGCTTCTTTTAGATATTAGCTTTTACATTGGAGGCTCACTTAAACTTAAACACAGTTCTTATTAACAACAAGAAAACATAACAACATCATTTCACCCATAATTTTTGAAGCTAGGTAAATGTATGAATAAACTACAGATTCGTGCAGAGACCACTTCAAATGTACAACTTGAATAAGAACAGGTGTTCGGCAAAGGTAAGCATCTTCTGCTTCACCGACGACACCCACTGATGTAGTTACTACAGTAGCAATACCAGCTCGTTCCTGTCACTTAACACTTAAAGTTATGTTGGGATATTTTTCCTGCTGTTGAGATATTATATAAATTCTACCGATGTCTTAATGACAAATAATTGTAATTATTTTGTTTGAAAATATAATCTCTCAAAAGGGACCCTGGTAAAGTATTTTACACATGTCACAAAGTATCTGCAAATGGATTCTGATAATTTATTTTTAACATATTTGCGTCAAATGATACTACCAACCTTATCTTAACATTATAAGGATGTAATTTATTAAGTCTAATTTACCTCTTTATCATAGTATGATATCATCATATATTAAATTTGATTTTTAAATTACATAAAAAAACCTTAACTATCAGTTTCTATCATCATTACAACTGTTCCATTTGATATCATTACTGTTAATATTTATCGATTTCCGTGATTATTTAATGTTTCTGGAGAACCTAGCTAAAACTAGGCTACAATCAAATGTCCGTGAATTGACATAAACATTGTTGTTCACATAAAAACATTTGGGTCATGTTTTCTTTTCCAATAAAATAAATTTAATTTTGAATTAAAATAATACATGGAAGAAACACCCTTGGTTCTGCAAGGGAATCAAACATATCTACCACCTACGATCATGTAGTGGCATGAAACAGTCCACATACTTTGGTTTTTCCGAAAACAAAAGATAAATACTAATCTAGCCTAAATTGACAAGAGAGTGCCAGATTGAGTTGTCTTTATGACAGTCAGAGAGATACAGCGGACATTTGATTCAATAAAAAGTTAGAGACAGAGGGAGCAGTGGGGTAATAACTGTACCGGACGACATTTTTACAGTTTCAATCATAGACTTTCCCTCTAGTATATAAATTGGTGTGAAATGAGATAGTGTGTATATGACAAATCGAATTCCCGTGTGTTTATCATAGATAAAAGGCATATAAATTATTTCCTGTAGTTTGTCTAAGATGCAATATTATGTGGATAACCGTATGTTAAGGAGTCCACTTGTGGTCACCTTCCTGATATGATAACACTTATTACTAGAAAGAAAACCCCACATGAAGCCTTGCCTTGTTTTTGGTCTTTCTAATAAGAATTTAGTTTATCTTAATCACACCCACCAAAAGATGAAGTCTTCATATTCTGAAGCATTGTACACATCTATTATTAGCTATGATCTGATATGTAGGGGGATATAGTGTTTTATGTTGGCGATTGTTATATCCTGAAGTGATGGCTCAAATTAATGTAGATAATGCCGACACTAGACTTATCTATTTAATCGTATGATTGCTAAACGGGCATGCTGTCAATGATGCTTTTTTATCTTTTCTTTTTTTCTCTTTTTCACAAATGCCGAAACAAAATTATAAAAAAAAACAAATAAAAGCAAAATACAAAACAACCAACCCCAAAAAGAAGGAAGAAAAACGAAAAAAAAAAAAACAAAAAAACAACAAAAAAAGACAAATGAAAAAAAAAATAATAGAAAAAAATCAATATCTCATTTTCTGATGCCAAGGACTTCATGTTTTATTTCAATATCTTTACTTTTGGCATTTTCCTTCAGTCAACAGGCAGTCCCTCAAAAATTATAAACATAATCACCTAATGGGCGACCTGCGAGGTTTATGGTCGTCTGATTGAAATAAACTATACATGTTGTTATTAGTGTCATGTTCGTGCAGTGGTTCAGAAATATCTCTTATTAAACCCTCATTATCCTGAAAGCATGTTTCTGTACAATTTGTTGTCAACATATGGTGTTAGTACAATTTCAAAGCTTATCATCTGTAAATAGATTGAATATAATCACAGTAATTTGTATAAGCAATTGTACCATACCTCAAACAGAAAGGCGTAAGACTTCAATACGACAGTATAGCTCTGATAAAATCGAATAGATGATTCTGTTTATCGAAACCTAAACATCACTATCCTTATACAAAGCATGGATGATCTTACATAAGATTAGATGCATATGAAATATATGAAATATGTCTTCAATTCATTTTTATTTCATAGAACCTCCATAATCTTGTATAAGATGGAACTAATGCAAAGGTATCTTTATCATATACAGCAGATATTTTTGTAAACATTAGAAAAAAGTATTCGAATGATGAAAAATCTAATTAAGAGATATGCTCACTGTGTATTTGTGTTTTGTGATGACAATATTCAAATGATGCAATGAAGCTATGACGTCGCAATGGAAACAAACGGGTCTTCATCAGATGACAGCTATGCTAAGTGTGTTAACACGTGTGTAATATTACCGAAACTTACATAATGTATGCTATTACACTAAATATAGGATCGTTAAGAGATCATCGATTTATCGTTGTCTTCTCTAAAACATCACAAATGCCTCCAACAGAGTAGTTGGTACATCTGTAGTTGTTTAGAAGATTATAAAAAGAGACTAACGTGAATAGCATCTATCAATACAAATGTATAATTAGATACAGAACAATCAAACAATAAAGCTGCACCATTGAGCTGTTGCAAAGTTAAAAGACTCATCAGTCATGCTAAGGGCCTATGTTTTGGGAATAAGAATTGAACTAACGAGAGTTATCGTTATTGTCTTGATAAAAGTTGGAGTAACGTTTCTATAACACCTTACAATTCTTATCGCACGTATTAAAGACTTAAACGTAACAAATGATATTTTAAGTAATTAAACTATCAGATAATTTCATTATCATTTCATAATGTCAAGATTGAATACAAAATTGTAAAAAATTACAATGGTTACAGCAAATCTTACTGTTTTTGTTCTCCATAAACTACATTGGCTAATAATTGACTATGTAATTGGTTTGACATTCCGGAAATATGAGTTCCTCCGGACGTTGATTAGGCATAATGATGTCGTACCACGATAATTTGTGTAATTCACTACATTTTAAAACGGCATACACATGCATGTCCCACTGTCATCTTTAGTGCTGTACCCAGCAGGCATCATCATGGGTCTCTCCGCATACTGTGTAGTGACGTCCTTAACTGTCTTTGTATTAAGAGGTAAGTCTTGTCATCATGACTCGAGTGATTATATATCATACACTGTCGTATTTGCAGCACTGAAAAATAATTTTTCGTCGGGCTGAATTTCCATGGCTTTTTTTTCAAAATATTTATTCCATGGACATTTGATTTAGTGGATAAATAAAAATATAAACAAATCTACTGAAGTAATATTTAACAGATCCTCAACGAATGAATTTATACATTAAAAATATCAACGAAAGTAAAACAACAAGGACATGTAAATTCAATTGATTCTATATTCAAGGGTATATTCCCATTATCACGATTTAGTGAAAGAACTCGTCAACAGACGGAAAACCTCGTAAAACTGGGGTTCAAAAGATGCAAGATGATGAGAATTATTCGGAAGTTTTTTGGTCGTCAAAGTGATGTTATTGAGAGAAATTGTATTTCTCTGTGCGGTGTGGAGGTAGACGTGATTCATGCTCGTTAGTTTGCCAGTTGGATATATTGTTATACCATGTTCTTTTTTGGGAACGTGACATTACTTACTTTGATTAACCAAGACTCACATGGCGGGTGTCGTCCATGAAGCAGAAGACGCTACTCTTCCAGAACACCATGTCTTTTTACTTGTACTTTTTTCAGGAGCTTCCGAGTAAACATCATTGTATATCTTGTCCTAGGGTTTTTAATCTAGGTTTGGATTTTTGTTATATTGACATTTTGGTATTTTTTTAGATGTTTCATACACTACACAATTTAATCGTGTTTCGTTTATGGGGATTCATTAACTTATACTGTTAAGTTATCCATTAAAATACTATCATAAAACAACATAAGATTCTTCATTTAATTACAGAAATGAAGATAGGTCGTGATATCAGTATGCTTTGGCCTAGATATATATATATATGTGTGTGTGTGTGTGTGTGTATGTAATTGATAGATCAAAACAATCCTTATGAATATAATATATACGGAACTGAACTGTATCTAATGCATAATTAGATGCCAAATGTCAAAAGTCATTTAAGTATACTAATCTACGGCTACTTTTTACATATGAGAGCTATGATAATTGTGAGGCATTAAGAGTTCATACCCTTTTGAACTCTTAATTCTTTTGCAGTTTAGTTTTTTGTCCGGTATTTTGTTTGTTAACGTTTCAACTTTGGATCCAGAGTCCATTTCGTTTATTACATCAAAGATGAAAATAAAAAAATACCAACATGTCGACGTAATTATGATTCAAGGTCAAATTTGATAATACTGCGGCGAAAAATGAATAAAACAAACAGACACAGACACACTCCTGAAAAAGTACAAGGAAAATAAGACAAAGTGTTCCGGAAGAGTAAACGACAAGACACTGTAAAATTGCAAGGCGTCTGTATGATGCTGTCATAAATACAAACAACTTTCTAATTGCAATCAAATAGTTGTTGGTGGATATCAGGTTTTGATATTTATGAGTTATTAATTCTATATCAGCAATAAAATCAAAACTAACTGATCTGAAGCAAATTTCGTGAGGTGGTAAAATTGAGAAAACAAGCTGCATCCCTTTCATAGCTATCTGTTGTCTTTGTTTGATGTATATAGATTTGCAATATGACGGTAACATGCGACATTTGATCAACCTTTTTCCAATGGTTTTACAAAATATCCAATAATCTTTGTCGAATGGATGTTCTTGAATAGCACTTAGTATCATTATGAACATACATGCAAGTCTCTCTTTAATAGAAAATAAAAACCCGTAGTTGATCGTAAAGCATAAATCAGTTCTAAAGACATTTCTGTGTGTTTGTGGGAGATAGGGTTGGGGATAGGGGAGAGGATTATCAGCTGTTTTGTTTATTTTATGTGTACTTGTAATCTACGAATTGTCCGCGAACTGTTATAATTGTATGGTCATACTGATTGTGCTATATTTTAATCACGAAAGGAATTGATCATAGATTAGAGATCTATTGAAAATTCAACCACATATGAGGCCAACGAAACTATCTAATTTTACAGTAATCTGTAGTACAAACTAAAACATCTAATTTTACAGGAAATTTGTAGTACAAACGAAAATATCTAACTTTACAATTTTCAGGACAAACAAAAATTTCTTTATTTACAGTAATCTGTAGTACAAACTAAAACATCTAATTTTACAGGAAATGTTGTGCAACCATGTTCTGAACTGGGATGTTTCGTCTTTGTTTGGTTTCAGGTAGACATTAGACAAATGAAAATAGATCTGCTTTACTTGAATTCATATATGTCGCTTCGTTTCTGTTGACACTATCCTTCTATCCGTTTCGGTGGACACCAGCTATAATGCATGTATGACACTGGCTATTACGAGTTCTTACACACTCTAACAAACTATTACTTTCCATTTAGAGTAAGCAGTCCCTCTCCCTATAATATCATATTGATATTTCGTTGTAGTTGAAGGCGCGAGATGGATGAACGTTGATGAGGCAGTTAGCAGATCCATCAGACACCTGGAGTTGATGAATGAGAAACGATCCATACTGGATACAACTCCAGGGGAAGTTATCAACATAGAACAGGAAACTGACCTCATAGAAAGTGACGCGGTCAACACCATAGAAGGGTCAAAGGTCATGCGATATTTTGAAACATTCCACGGGATTCCAGTTTACGATTCCATTGCTTCCATAGAGGTCGACAGTGAACACGGTACGTACACCGGACAAGCATCCGGGCAACTGCTTCAAGACATTCACAATGACGTCACATCCGTAATACCAACTCTGAAGAAAGCTGAGGCTCTGGTACTTGCAAAAATGTACTTTGGTGGCGACAGCAACGAGTACAGTAACGAAAAAGTGGAACTAGTGATATATCCTGTAGGACATGTGGCAGCATTAGCTTACAAAATATCATTTATCGCATTCAGGAATGACAATATAGCTAGACGTCGTTTCTTTCTCAATGCAAATACTGGAAAACTCTTGAAAGAAGTGAATTTACTTCCGTCATTTCAGGCAAAAACTACAGGAGGTAATACCAAGATTGGTAAATTAGAATACGGTAAATCTATGCCCTTTCTGAAAGTAAGAAAAACAGGAACAAATTGTACGTTAGCCAACGATAAAGTGAAAGTCTATGATCTTCACCATGGTAAAAGATTGAATAAGGGGGACCGTCCATTTTCCTTTGACTGTAATGAAGGAATTTCAGACGAGGGCAATGGGGCATTTTCTCCACTCAGCGATGCTTATTTCTACGCGAACAGAGTTTTCAAAATGTACGAGGAACTAGTGCATGCGCCTGCAATTAAAGAACAGCCAATTCAAATATGGGTTCACTACGGTGAAAATGCTATCGTAGCCCAGTTTTCTGGTCCAATGCTCCTGTTTGGGGATGGCCGGAAGGATATTTTCTACCCGATGGTTTCTGCAGACGTCCTAGGTCACGAAATGACACATGGATTCGTAGAAGAACATTCAGATCTTGAGTACAGTGGTCAGTCTGGAGCAGTAGATGAGTCGTTTGCGGACGTTGCCGGAGAGGCGGCCGAAGAATTTATCTTTGGAAGTCACGACTTCAAATCTGGTGAAGACATCTCCATGGGTTACACAGTTCGGGATATGTGTAATCCAGAAACAGACAGTAGGTCCATTGACCATGTTAATGACTTCAATGACGATTTAGATGTCCACTACACTAGTGGTATTTTCAACAAAGCGGCGTGCTTGCTGGTAACATCGGACGAATTCGATATATTTAAAGTGTTTCAGATCTTTGCGCATGCCAATCGTTTTTATTGGCATCCAACATCGAATTTCAGCGGGGCCGCTTGTGGTATTGCAAAAGCCGCTTATGACCTAGGACATAATACCGACGAGATAGCAGCTGCGTTTGAAAACGTTGGTGTTGAAATCTGCTCAATGGAGAAATATACAAGAACAATTCACACAGATATCACTATAAAAAGTCTCCAGGCAAAGGGTGACGAAAAAATAGTATTTAAATTCAATATCAGGTCCGGAAAAAGCTTCTTGATCTATACTATGAATGGGGATGGAGATATCGATGTAACTATAGATTCGAAACGCAAATTAAGAGGTGCAGCCCCGCTGTATTCATCGGATTCAAAGGGAAACCTAGAAATGATCAACGTTGATTTAAAACTGATTCGAAAAGGCTACATCACTTTAAAACCAAAGAAGAAAGGAATGTTTTCAGGCGTGAAATTTGACTTACGTATCCAACACTGAAAAATACTGTACATATAATTGCTATTGGTTAACTTTTATATTTTGAAGATCTCTCCGGGAAATACAATTGCTATTTACCTAATATGCTACGTCCTGTTTTAAGTACCTTGTACCAATGTGTTTGTGTGTGTGTATGTTTTTTTTTTTTTTTTTTTTTGAGTGATTTGTATTTTCGCTATATTCGCGAATATTAGAATAATATTTTTACGTATATTAATAGCTTCATATTTTTGCACTTCTGACAGTTGAATGCGAACGACCCTGAAAAGGTATAGGATCACCTGCCCGACCCTTTGATTTTCCCCGGGTACTACGGTCTTCACCCACAGAAAGACCCCACGAGCGTTTCAATCCGTGCCAACAATAGTGCTTTATATAAGTAGAAAAAATGGTCTCGCAATTAATGTAAAATAGCGAAAGTTTACTCTTTAAATAGATTAATACATATGTGAAAAAAGGAACCAAACAGAAATCACACAGTTTGCGGGATCGGCACATTCATCAACTAATACAATCAGATATACCTTCACTTGGCGGATATTAGTAATTGAAGACTTAACCCTCAAGTACGTTTCACATCTATAGCCTTATAAGCGATAAACATTTCGAAGCGGCCAATGTAGTAATTTTATGTTCATTTTTTAATATTATTGACAACTTATATTCAACACAGACATAATGCAGGGGAGATAAATCTCGTCTGAAATCCTACATCGTAATATCAACGAAGGGTTTTATCGGAGATAAATAATACCACATACGATTAGTGTTTATATTGTCGACAGTCCGCTAGCCATTTGTGTTTTCATACAATGATGCACTTTTGTAATGTTCGCATTTCAATAACTAAATCATGTTTACAGTGACTTGTGAACTCTAAATAATACTGTTTTTAAAATATTGTTTGTGTATGGTAATTTGTAGTGATACAAATATCAATCGGCGACAAGACCTCTTTTTTCGAAGTGTATCAATATATCTCTGATGTCATGATTTCAAAGGATTTGCCTTTCATGTCAGTTTCCCCGGAAATAAACTAGTTTTAAACATATAACGAATACTTAACACAATCAACTCATCGAATTTCAACTTAATTACTTAAGCCAACTCAACCCAAAAAGTAACTACCGAATTCTTTCACATTTACTTAGCTCCCTGATTTTCTTATATCTTTCGCACAGACGACGTCCTTTGCATCTGACATTTCTCCTAATTCTATATCTCTTCACTGTCCCTTTAAGCTGCCTTTATAATTATGTTATTGTATAATACATTTATTAATATTTCTGTCTGTGGAAGTTACAAAATATATGTCACCATGCGTAGATTAATGATATATTTAATAAGAAACAGAATAATATAATGATATATGTCTGTAGCCCTGAGCTGTTTCCAGGTCCAGTTCCATTCTATTCATCTGGACAGGCGTGTTCCTTATAGACAATGGAATAAAGTTTATATCAAATACACGCTCGAACTAATGATGTAAAAGAAAAATGGATGCAGTAATAATATTGCTCAGAATAAAATCTATGTCGAAAAATCTTTTTCCCGGGTGCGTGTGTCTTTATATGACACGTGATGGAAAATTGAATAAAGTTTGTATTATATAAACGGCCGTACTCTTATAATGTAAAAAGACATAAAGTGGAAGCAGCAATGACCCAGAAAAAATCTATGTCAGCAAAACGTTTACCGTGCCCATGTTTGCCACGTGATAGAAAATGCATTTAATATAAAGATAAAAAGTGAAAGCAGTTTTTAAATCCACCGGATATTATGAAAAAATGTGTTTATTACGTGAAAACGTGAATAAACCAGGCTGACAGGGATATGATTTGTAACTCTCGTTCACGTGGAGACAACGACTTTTAATTTCATACGTATAGCCTTGTGTGTATGAGACAGTTTTTATTTAAATTTAACTGTAAACCAAGCATAAGTTACATTGTTTTGAAATCAAACAGAGGATATCGTAAATCTGATATTAACTTGGCATCTATTGCAAGGCGCTATGCATTTACATTACATTGCTATTCATAAAAAAACAACATGACGAAAGAGAATGACGATTAATTGTTAATCGTTGTACAATGCAGCGATAATGGGACCAGGTGTTCAAGAATAGTTAGAGTCTTCTTTTTCATCGACGACACATGACATGTAAATCATGATTAGTCCAAGTCATCAAATTTGCGTTCGTCGCAAATGAGAACAAGGCATAAGTATCAATTCACTGAATGTATTGTGGAAAGACAATTTGTTAAAATCTCCAGGATCTCAGGATTGAAAGAGATGTGTCCGCAACAAAACGTCAGGATTTCTGAATAGCCCGGTGTATCCATTTCGGAATCACTCTCAAAAGGAGACATGCGAGGTGACACATTTTTCCTCGTTCAATTACCAAGGGCGTTTTTTAAACCAAGTCTGAAAGAAAGGTCTCCACATCAGCATGTTGGTGCTCGTACTGATCGTTCTCTCAGAGCTGTATTTTAAACCTTTAGGTATTGACAGTGAACAAGTTGAACGTCTATCGTCAAATGCTTGATTTATCTCAATGCAGGTGTAGTTGAATCGCTAATAAACAGTCTTCTAAATAACAACAACAAAAATACAACTGTTTTTCTTAATAACTTTAGCTATTTTGTTGTTTGTCTTTTTATGATTCAATTGAGCGTTGATTTTATTATCTTAAAAAAAAGATTATTAGGTTAAAACTCACGTGGTAGATATTTTAATATCACGTGACTCACACACCCTGTTATCGACTATAAAGATAGTTGGAAGTCTAAGGCCCGGTATCGCAGGCAGGATCTCCATTGGACAAGGTAAGAGACCTGAACACTTTACACATAACAACTTTGTATAGTAGTAGTATTAGAGCATTATTTAACAAAATCATCAAATCATAAAGAATAATTTAAGAGCATCTTTCCAAAAAAATAAATAAACTTAAAGGTGTTAGCCATTTCAAGTTTTATCATATCTACAATGATATTCATCAGAGAAAAAATGTATTTCATTCTATCTAAGCTTAGACCAAAAACAGTTGTTTGTTGAAAGGGATAATTATGGAAGAAACCACTTCAGGGATTTTATTAGATGGAACAATAAACGTATTTCAACATCTATTAAATTTAATGATGAATTTCATACCACACAAGAAAGCAATTCAAGTGAGTTACTTTTTTTCATGGTAAAATTTCATCTATCAGTAGACAGTAAAACGGAATGTATTCCTTAGCTCTTTAATATGAACTAAATATTACTAAACCTCTGTGCCAGAGATTATTTATCAGTTTTAAATTTCAAAAACATCTAAGAAAATAAAATGCATTCAGATTTTACAAAATATCATAGAAGAGATTTTATGTGTTTAAACAAAGTAAGCGGATATAATATTAAATAGCAATTAGTGTTTACTTTGCTAATATCACGTTTATCCTCAAAAAACACAGAATAAACAAAAACAACAACAAGACCTGTTTCGTCGTAGTTGCTAATGTAACCGCAAATCTAATACGATCTCTGGATGTGTACCAAGTTGACAACGGAGACATTTCAAAAGTTAGGTTTGACCCAGTTCACAATACCAAACATGTTGTGCAAACCCCGCAAATGATAACAGGAGATAGGTCAAACAAGTTCAATAGCATTTCTCTCGTGACCTCTTTATCTGTGACGAGAAGATAACGTTTGACAAAGTATCTTGACCTTGTTTCAGTAATATTCCATAGGTTAAACAGCATATTTTCCCCTGGGGGATTAACTAGAACATGGCAACGGTCTGAAAATTAATTGATCTTATAGTTGCAACTCCTTCCGTCTTTGAAAAAAGGCGTTGTCATAAGCTTTCTTTTTATGTTTTTGTCATTATACATCAGCGATATTTTAAGATAATAAATGTGGACATCAGTTGGAAGAATTGGAAGAGATAGCATTTTAATACAAATTGCTGTGACCATCGTGATTATCATACATAGACAGAGAAAAAATACAATTGAAAAAAAAAAAATATGTTCTTCTTCTTCTTTATATATAGATATATAAGGATGTATTTTTTGGTGTATACTTAATGTTTTTAACCACTGTGAATCTCTTCATAAACATTTGATTTGGTTTTGTATTAAGCTATTTAATTTCGTTCCCCGAACAGATGTACAAACTTCTACTAGTAGCGGCTCTAGTGGTCTTATCCACGGCCTTCCGGGCAGAGCTGGACGGAGAATGGGAGACGTACAAGACAGAGTTCAACAAACCCTATGGAGCTGAGGAAGAAGCTAAGAGGTCAGATACCACATAGCTCTTACTCAGCACTCATCAGATACGTAACGATATCAGTAAAATATCGCCAGCTTTAGAATCTTAATTATATACGTACACGTTAAGATTTATTATCATGGGTTAACATTGAATTGCCTTTATAGAATATCTTTAAGTGACAAGCATAGAAAATGATAAAGCATAATCACCAATTACGATTAAGGAAATAAAATAGTCATGTTGTTAACCAATTATAACATGAAACAAAAACAAAAAAATATTATTGAAAAAATTGACATGTTTGACTTTGTCTTTTTGGGGGATGGAAAAAGGACGGGAAAATATAACCAATGATTCGTCGCAGGCTACATTTCAACACAAATTTACTGCTTATAGTTTATGTATTGAAACTAACTAGTCTGTCCGTTTACAGGAGAGTGATCTGGGAGAACCACCTCGACTACATTCAAAAGCACAACCTGGCAGCTGATAGAGGGGAACACACATTCTGGTTGGGCATGAACGAGTATGGAGACATGGTAAGACATCTGGGGCTACGTTATAAGTCACACATCGAGATCGCCAGGTTTTTTTAATGCAACAAGGTTTCGAAAACTTGTCGATGCCTAGTTATAATGATTTTTTTGTTCTGTGAGAGGTCTTATAGGAATGACAGATCCGCAGATACACCAGTTTCTTATTCTTGTCAATCAGCATTTGAATTTGTAGAGGAACCTACAACACAAAAATACCTTCGGAAATGTATTATAGATAGACTGAAAATTAATTAAAATTAAAGTGAATGTTCAGTATTATAATGTACTTTTCCACCGTGAAATGTCGTGTCATGTTTTGCCTGATTTACGATCTGTTGGTCTATTTTACTTACTTTTATCCACTCTGTCTTCACTACCAGACAAATGAGGAGTTTGTGAAGACAATGAACGGTTACCACATGAGGACCGAATCTGTCAATGCCCCGACCTACATGCCTCCCTCAAATGTTGGAGATCCACCAGCCTCCATGGATTGGCGTACACAGGGCTACGTAACAGCCGTTAAGAACCAGGTATGGTTTCTAGAGTGTGAATCGGTACACCTTTACTTGATATGTGTATGAGTTTATCCTATATAAGAGATAGGATAGTTTCTGTTCCTATTTACATGCTATGCATCCTAAATAACATTACTGTGATAATTTTGCAATTTATTCATTTATTTTTTTCATGTTGACTCGACATTGAAAATTTTCCTTAGTACATATCATGTAATGTCATGTGCTCCTATTCCGGATAAGCGAAAAAGCAATGTTCGTTTTCTATGGTTTTAGGGAAGACAATTTGTGTACATAGAAACATTTCGATATTCTGTTTGTCCACTATAGGGCCAGTGCGGTTCATGTTGGGCCTTCTCCACAACTGGTTCTCTAGAGGGTCAACATTTCAAGGCTAATAAGTCACTGACATCTCTGTCCGAGCAGAACCTGGTCGACTGCTCCAGGAAACAGGGTAAGGGTCGACTATGTACAAACAACAATACAGTATATACTACTTTTTATACAACTTTTAGGAAAAGTATTTTCCTGGAGAAAAAAACGAACATTGTTTGTTGAAAAATGACAAGTTATTAACCTGGAAAAAAAATAATCAACGATATTTCACAGTAAACATAGAAATCAACCTTTCAACCAGGAATAAGTAGAACTTTATAACATAGAATTAAACAGCAAACTGCATCATGTAGTTACTTTGTTATTTGAGGACTAGTCACTGATGTTCAGAGTGGGAGAGTGGAAACATAGTAAGCGACTAACAAATATTATATGACAGATTTAGAAGAAAAACAACATAGTATATATCACTATGGTTACTGTAGTATTTAAAAGAGTCCAGAAGAAAGGACACAATAAAGTAATATATATTTATAAGTCAAATATCTAATTAATCATTATAGGAAATGATGATCAATTGCCAATAGTAAACATCACTTTATTACCATAATTATTCATGATTATATGACAAAGTGAATATCCACATAAATGATGTAACTGGACATTATCAAGGGAAGTTTCTATGGCAGAAATTATTAAATTTTAGTGTATGAAGTCATGTTTAATTTTCCACTACAGGTAACCAGGGCTGTGAAGGAGGATTAATGGACCAAGGATTCAAATACATTAAGGAAAATAACGGAATCGACACCGAGGAATCCTATCCATACAAGGGCGTGGTCAGTAATATAAGTAAATTATACTGTTGGTGTAATTTGATAGAATATAATTACAACCTAAAACAAAATACACCAGGGAGCAAGTGCGCTACTTACCAGCAAATTGTCAATCTTTATAATATCTCCGTATGATTAACAAGTCTTTATCCATAAACTAGAAATCAAAACTTACCATCTGATTGAGGAGCAGAGAAATATTACCATTTAGGAACACCTGGTCTTATTCTCATTGTGTTTTGTCAGGAATCGCCTTGTAAATTTCAGTTGTTCCTATTTGCCCCAGTTTCGCTGAGGTCATGCTTTATTTAATACGCTCCTAACATGTCCGTGATTTCCTTGTTGTGTAAGTTTGCAGGAGCCAATTATCTTTCCTCTTTGGTCTACATACTAATAATGTTGTTATCATATATTCTTGCTTTCAGCGGTTTTGAGACAAAATTTCGATCGAGTTGCTGTTGTTTCATATGATACTATTATGCATAATCTACCCATGGTACTATTATAAAATGATACATATATGTAAGTCATATACTAATTTGTTTATCATACACGGGATATGATTCCTGAAGATTGGCTATACAGTATTTCTATGACAGTGTATGCTTTCACTCAGGGAATATCAGGCTTCGGCACACATCCCATGTTATGATATCTGTTCAGTGGTATCAATCTATGGTTTTTGCAGTGCCATACAGACAAAATCTTAATACAAAGAGTCTGAAGACTTTTTTTCTATGTACTATATTTTAAAACTCAGAATATACTGGTTAAAGTCAACTAAGAGAAATATCGAATCATAATTTTGTGTAGCCAGAACTGAAGTCTAACCTTGAACTAAATATGAACTTATCTGGGACTTAATTAAGGTATGTAAATAAAACAAAGAGTATATTTAAATAATGACTATTCTTTATTTTTGTCGTTGTAGGCCGCGGGGAAATCATTCTATGCAAGATGATTCTTAGGATCATTTCTTGAATCTCTTTCGCAATCTTCTATATTGTCTTTCAAACACTAAGTATTAGACATTTGATCTTATTCATACAGAACGGTCAGTGCAAGTTCACACCAGCTAATGTTGGAGCGACAGACACCGGGTTTGTTGATATCAAGAGCAAGAGCGAGTCAGATCTCCAAAGCGCTGTTGCTACGGTGGGACCCATCAGTGTTGCCATAGACGCCAGTCACATGAGTTTCCAGCTGTACAGAACAGGAGTGTATCACTCATTCTTCTGCAGCGAGACCAGATTAGACCATGGTGTTCTTGCGGTTGGCTACGGAACTGAAAGTGGCAAGGACTACTGGCTGGTTAAAAACAGGTAAGCAATGCCGATGACATCGGAGTTTTAAACTTAAAGTCAAATATTTGCTGAGACATCAATACTACATAATGCTTAAAGCAAATCCGAAACATCTTTCACGGAGATCATGGATTGGTCTCAGATTTTGTCAAATACTTAAATTGTCCAGCTAAAATATTTTTCGCGAATTCATTCAATCCTCGAAAAGGGCCGAAAGTGTAAACATAAGGTATGCAATGACCAGATGTTAAATACAATGGTTTACATAAAATGTGTGCTTTCGACATTTCTCTCCACTTACACACCCTCAGATTATTGCGACAATATCTGACCGACCAAAGATAAACAAGCCATACCATGCAGTGTTTTACAAAGAATCTATATAATGCAAGGTTGCTATCTACCGTAAAGTCACTAAACGTCCCAGTGTATTTTTTCTGTAGTCTTCAAGCAAATTAGGATGAATTTGAAAAATGTTTACTATTATATAAAATAATATTGTTACTTGTTCCCCTTTCAGTTGGGGAGAATCATGGGGCGAGAAGGGATACATCAAAATGTCTAGGAACAGGCACAACAACTGTGGAATTGCCACTCAGGCGAGCTACCCAACTGTATAGAGTGTGAAACAGATGATGACAGAACAAAATTGAATGTAATTGTGACAAATATTAAGATTTTTTTATACAAAATAATAAATAATGTTATACTTAATCTGTGTTGTGTTCTATCTTCCTGTAGTGTCTTTTTATTGTGCATAAGACATACAGCTCTATAACAACCCTTAATTAACAATAATTATCTTCATTAACATGTGTGTTAGACTTCGTAGATTAACAAAATAAACCAAATTGCATCATATAACGATTATATCTTTTAGCTTCCCGATGTTCATTTAAATAGGTAAGTTATTAACATTGAACTTATAAGGGGAGCATTTTTATCTGTTCTGGGTAGGTAACCCAGTGCTTCAGTTGTGGGTCAGTTTTCACTTTTTATGTATCGGTATACATGTATATAAAGATGTCCATATATTTAATTAGGCTACATGTAACGTAATGGAGCATTTTTCTTTAAAACAAGTGGCCCATCTGATTTGCATGGCTTCTCTCGTTACGTAAAGCTTTGTCCCTCTATCTTATCCTACTATTATTATTGCATTCTTAACACATAAAAGTTCATTAGAAACATCAATAGGTAAAACACTCAGCGATCCAAAAGAAAATAACATTAAACAAACCAAAAAGTAAACGACAAATGCTAAATCTTTTAATGGGTATAATAACACAAAGATAAAAATGGTACGTCATAGTCTATTATATAGACCAACATCTTTCAGGTAATGTAGAATTTTACAAATCTCAACAGCTTCAAAAAGGGATTTTAGACATGTAATGTTACGATAAAAACATTCTAGAGTAAACAGCAGGTCAACGCAGTCCAACAAAAAATGTTTAACGGTGAATGGCTCATAACATCCTATGCACCGAGGTTTATCTTCGTCTTTCAATATATGCGAATGCGTAACTTATACGATATAAAAGTTTGGTTCAATCGGAGTTTAGATAAAAGTCATTGGCAGAAAGAAAATATTTTTTAAAATTACTATTTCTCCCCTTTTAGGCCCCATTTATGAGGCTCTATAGCCTTCATTTATACACAATTGGTTCCCTTTTCCCCAATGATATCACAGTTTCTTCGGACCAGATGTAGTAGAGTGTTGGATACTGACACAATTGTCACATATGTACAGCAAACTGTATGTGAAAAAAATAAGATGACTACTAATTAGGTTAAACGATTTATTTGAACAAATTTCATTATGTTTAATTTTACACTACAAAAATGGGTTTGTCCTTCATTCATATACAAAACTGAGATCGAATGGCATGCCAGCCATCTTCTCCAAATAAGCTTCATCAAACAACTCATTTTGTTTTACTGTCAGTTTTTGTTTCCAATCACCGATAACCCCTGTAATTAAAAAAGACAAGTAACTTCTAAATCAGGTAAAGCTATGAACAGTAACAATGGAACAAAAAGGAACAGTTTAATATACATTAGCTTATCTTGGTCGGGGGAATATACCTGCATCACAGAACATTAGGACAAAATGTTATATAAATATATTAAACCTTTATATCTATTCAACATTGACAGGAAATATATTCCCTATACACCCTTGTACATCATAGAAACAAACTGAATTTATAGATAATAATACGAGGTTTTATAACGTGTTACAATATCCTATATCAGGAATCGTTAACTATACTGATATTTAATATCAAATGAAAGAAGACTGCCAAAAGTACATGAAAAACCTGTAGGTGATCAACGAATTTCAAATAGAAGTCAATTTTGTAGGAAATTAAGTAAATTCGAGTAACTATAAAGCATGGCTTTAATTGGCCAAACTACGAACATTACATATCACTGCTTTTACTTCTAGATTAATCAATTCATATCGTTTTTAACCAAAATATAGAGTACACCCAGATCATTTTATAATACATTCGCCACGTTTCTTACACATACTAATTTGATATCTAATAGTCAACATTAAAACATAACAGTTCGCCAAATATCTAATAATTTAAAAATTAATATATTTTCCACCTCTTAAGCTCCCTGTTGTTATGTAAATGTGTGAGGATTATGGGTGTAAATAAAATTAAAAAGAATTAATCCTGCTTCAATAAGGATATCAATAACTTTATGTGGATGTGTATGTATATACGCGTGTGTGAGAGAGGTGTATGTGTATGTGTGAATCATGGTGAGAATGCAGTATATAGCATTGTATATGTTCTTATTACATGTATTTATATGTTCAAAATAATTCCAAAATGAACAAAGAATTAAACGAGACATTTAGCTAAACATATTATACCTGATTTCAAAGGAGCTAATATAGCAAGAGACAAAACATGTTCATATTAATAACCTTTTCGATAAATTGGCAATCTTCCATCGGTGACCCATGTCAAATATTTTGATGTTTTCCCTTTTTGTGTATTGTGTTCCTTCCTCATATTCTCAAATGTTAGGGTCTGCTCCACTTTCCTCAAGAAGTTTTCATCGTAGTCTGCTTCCAGGAACTTTGCCAATTTCAAAATACTTGAAAACGGATTCTAAAATGAAAGAAAAAGAATTAATAAATATATTTTAAAAAATGACACTCATGTTTATTATAAAACGTAATATATTCATATTTACGCCATTGTCGGAACACACTTGCCACATATATCCAGCAGTGAGAGAAAACAGCTGTATTTCAACACGTAGTTCGACAGAATTACTTTCTGAATATACTTGAATATTTTATTTAACATTATTACAGCTGTTGACAAAACTGATTTTATATGTTGTAATGAAAGAATTTATTTAATAAAATTCTTTAAATCGCTGTCATATCCATTAAAGTTCAGAGCTATAATTCAGCGTACCATCAATGTCAAGTAAACGAAGATTGAATCACAAAACTGTTGAAGTTTTGATAACATGATTTTCATTCAACATTACAGAAAAAAAAGTCGGGAGCGGAATACAACATGGGTTCACCAGAGACTCGCCACTTTTGTCTTTGTTCACTGTCACCAAAATACAGCTCATAGTTTAGGATACTGACCATGTAATCTTTATGTACTGCACGTGTGTATAGCCCTGATAAGAACAATATGTGTTGAAACTTTAAGATAGTAACAAACACATCCACCTTTAATGAATCTCAAATAAAAGGGAGGTATGAACAAACGAAAATTGGTACGGAGGCCTTTAGAGAAGTACAAATAGAACAATATTAGATGTTCCGGAAGAGTAAGCGTCTTCTACTAACAAGCATCAAACACGCCAACTTCATCTCGCTCATGGAAACAGAATATTTCCTAATCACATAATAATGACCATCAAACCTCCCCTATAATCTTGATCAACTTGTATTACTCGAACCCCCGTGCTGTATGTTTGCTTTCGCCGACTTATTTCAAGTTCATTTCGCAAAGAATATTTCATGTTGTATACTACAGATCAAAACATTACGTATTGTATTCTTTCATTTTTACCAGTTGTTCTCTATTTACCTGACGTAATTTTCGTAATAACTGAGTGTTTAGATGCTTTCATTTCTTTATCAGAAATGATTAAGTTTAGATTTTAGTTTAGATTAAATAATTTTATTTATTGTTGTACGTCGGAACGATTTGCTTTAACAAATTCCAAGTTATGTTAACATAGCTGCTAAGTGAAACTATAAATGAATAATATTGCTTATTTAGCAAAGTGTCCTGAAATAGACAGTATTTGAATCGAGTTATCGCCCTTAGTCCACATACACCTTGGTAACAAGATTTAAAAGACTTACATTATAAGTTCAGTAATTCATATTTTTTATTTAATAATTGGTATTCAAATGTTATCTACCCTTTAAGGTTATATAAAAACGACGTCCTTGAACGCAATGGTTAGTGACTACATGAAAGGAGCATACAAGAAAAAACGCCATGTCAACATAATCAAAATCCAAACTCGAGTTCAATAAAACTAGGAACAATGGAACTCTTTACATTGTGACTGTCTGCCTTTAATGTTGAATTAATGTGTGACTAGGGATGCGACTAGATATTATTTCAAAGATATATTTTTTGTCCAGTACTATACATACATGATTTTGTTTTCCAGTGGTTTTAGAATTATCTGTCTACAATACTTAGGAGTGACTGTATATCACACACTACGTCGCAAATCCATGCATCGATAACTACGTGAAAATGTGCTGCAATCTTCACTACGTCATTATTTTATGTTGCATAAAAACAAGAAAATACCAACTTGTCTACAGAATCGTAATCCAATTTGAATTTAATTAAACTAGCGTAAAGTAGGGAAAATTGCAAGTGGACTTCTGAGAAGTTCAAGGAGAACAACACCAGGTGTTTCGGAATAGAAAGCGTTTTCTGATTCATCGCCGACAACCACCATGTAAATATTGGCCAGTGCAAGTGAGTAATATCAAAATATCAAATGAGAAAAAAGGTATAAAAAACGGAACCAACAGGCAAACCAACGACCATCAAACACGTCATACTAAATAACGCAGACAGAAAGATAAATTTATCCTTAAATATAATTGATTACTAGACATGGAGTGTGATGTCAAAATAGTTTAGCATGAATTATTTCGCGTCATATTAAATTCATTATTAAAAATGAAAAGTTAAATTTGGTCAACATACAGAAAGAGACAAACAGTTCATACCCGTATTAAGTCTTCATATCGTAAGCTTAGACATCGCATGCGCGGATTTGACTTCTTGGCAATTTCCCATTCTTTAACGTGGGTGAACCAGGAGGCTCCGCAGGTCGGCACTGAGTATCAATATGATGAGTTCAATATGAAAATATTGTTTCTGATTAACAACACTGAGTCATGCATAAGATTTCCTGCTTTGCTTTATGTGTTAGAAATACTATACCATTAGTGTTTTCGGTAGTCAATTAATGCAATCATACGAACATTTGCAATATTTTGTTTTTGTTTTTGTCACGAAATTCTCTTAATGCTTTCTATCAACAATCAAACGGTTACAGTGAAGTATACACACACGCAAAAACATGTTTTCTCTTCTCGAAGGCGCATCACCCAAAGTACATGTATATTCCTTCTTATATTTTATAAATTATACATCAACTTTTAACCCCACACTAAATCGGGTGTTGATAAAAATACGTATGTACTCATTTGTTAATAATAGGTATATACATTTTTAAAACATATATTAGATTCCAACACTAGTGCTGCTTGATTTCAAAAGACTCATTGAACAAGAGAAAACCCCATATACCGCATACATCAGAATTTTCGTCCATATTTAACTTTTGCCCTTTCACAAATGGCATGAAATAACAAGACTAATATTTGAAGTAACAGATGAAATTTATACATTTTATTTTTCAATGTTACCACTGAAGAAAATAGAAGTTTAGTGCAAATGTGAGAAAATCCCAGGGGCGAGTATTCTCAATATTAAGATACAAATATATACACATATAATAACAACATGAAAATATTTTACTTACATCCGTCTGACACGAACTGGTGAAAAAATCCGTTGAAACTTCCCTGAAATAACCTGTTGTTGAGTCTAGATTGATATTCGAACAAGGAACAGAACACGTCCTTTGGATTTCTGGTAACGTTGATAACTTTGATATTGCCCTGCTTTGCTTCTTCCGGAATAAATGGGTAGGTTAGATGGGTGGCATACGTACGTACCGAACCCAGTGTATTCATTTGTGATAAATTTTCAAATTCAAGCAGAAAAGGTGAGCCTGCATATTCGAGAGAACGATGTTGTAGCTGACAGATCATGTTGTACACCCAATGAGTACCTGAAGTTAAATAAATAACTGAAGTGTATTAAACATGTTTCCTTTTTTCATTTGTTTTTCTTATACCAGACGTCATATGTCATAGCGTAAGGTCTGTCGCCAAACATGTTGTCGGTCGTCCAATGGTTTCTCGTTGCAACGTTTTCCCGAGAGCATCTTTGAGAAAGGGAACCAACTTGGTATATAAGGTCGTTCTGCTTCACATGGGGTCTGTTGTGCATAAATGAGTCACTGCTTCAGATTGGTTGGTGTAGAATCCTATGTGCAGGACAGCTACAAATTTATTCAGAATTATTTTATGTTAGTTTTTCTAAGTTAATGTATATGTAGGTATTCTAACCATGATAAGTAAGAACAAGGCTTAGTGAACAACTTCCCATAAATGGTGGGTTTTGAGTCCCACCTTCCCCAAGACTAAGGGAGAAGGATTACAAGTCTTTTTATCCGCGTACAAAATGGATCAATTGATCATCTTTGGTTAAAGGATGCTCAATTCTGTACAAAGGTTGCTCCCGATAGGTGTTACAGAGAACAATCTTTATAATGGTTTTCTTCTCTTGGGATGAAAGTCTCATGACTACATCGAGTTAGAACCGGATTGTTTTCAACTTTTCTTCCGTAGGTCAGGTTTGATTAATATTGTATAACGTCCTATCAAAGCTTTTGTCATTTAAGTACAGCCTCGAGATGTATGTGAGTTGCATGTGATGCGTGTGCGTTTCAGAGGCCACAGTATGTTGCTGTAAGCCTTTTTCCTGATGGCGCGGAACCGAAGCCGATTTTATGCTGCTTACCACCTGAAGTTTACTGTCGAAGTCCCATGAAGTCATCACAATCGGTCGCATTACAAAATGACCAACCTGTCGTTGCTCTATTACATTGACTAACGCTAAACAGTAAGTAGTAACTACCACTATTATAGACTTTGATATGTCTCGACAAATAAACTGAAAACAAAGCCTTATTCTTAGGTATAAATTGCATGTTTTTGAAACTTCATCGTCTATTTTAACACTCAGTGGAATAGAGATTTTTGTCAAAATAGCGGTTCACACTATGTCACATATTAAAATAAAACATGTTAGATGGTAAAGCAAACCCCGAAAGTCCATAGGCTGTATAGATGCCATACCCAAACTAGCACACTACACATATAGATTACCTTCGTGCTAATTTTTCAATATTGCAAACATTCGTGGATATATAAATAAGTATTTGTTTGAATTAAGTTGTTCAAGTCATGTACATGCACATGATATCAATAGAAATAACATGTCTAAGTGACATTTTACAGTGTACCGCAGGCTACATAACTTTATCAATCACACTTACTATAGTATTTATCATGTTTGCGCAAAACTTTAACACATGAAGATAATTCAGTTTCATTCGTATGTATCTCGCTTGTTTATATATGTATATATAAGGCCTTCATGATATTGCTGTATTTTTCATAATATCATGTATTGTGGATCCTACTAAAATCAAACATGATTTTGTACAGTCAAACCTGTCGTAAAGTTCATCTTTATACAAAGGTCTATAAAGATCACATTTTGGTTCACTGTGTAAGGCAATTCATATTACTTTTCTCTGCTCCTTTGACTGCCATTTGTAGACAGGATTGACTGTTTATTTGAAATCTAGGGCTAGTACACTTCTCAATTTGATTTTGGTGTTTCATTCGATAGATTAACGGTCTTATTAGTCGTCTTCAGCATTTCAAACTTAAGGCCATATTTGTCGCTGATAAATCCTTAACGGACGAAATAGCTGTATGATGGAGTTTAGTCTAATTTTGAATTTGTATTCAAGCTATTATTTTTTTCGTATATCAAATACACATAAGGATAGCTAATAAGGATTCATTTTAATGACAAGGGACTGATTATACTGACAAATAACTCGTTACAATGACAAATAACTCATCATACTGACAAAATGACAAATTATACTGACAAAAATATTGTTACACTGACAAATAGCTCGTCATACTGACAAAATGACCAATGACACGGGGAAAATGACTCTTTACACAGACAAATGACTCATCATACTGACAAAATGACCAATTATACTGACAAATGACTCATCATACTGACAAAATGACCAATTATACTGACAAATGACTCATCATACTGACAAAATGACCAATTATACTGACAAATAACTCGTTACACTGATAAATGACTCCTTATACTGACATGACAAGCTTGTATTCTGTAACGAATGATGAACCTGCGAGCATGTATTACATGTATCACCCTCTTACCTGATTTAGGATATGAACACAATAGGACGTCGTCTTCATGGAACTGCAGGGAAGATATTTCAGCTAGTGTGTCACTTATATTTCCAGACATCTCTGGATGAAATCGCCTACCTTTGTGTTGCTTAAAACCTATTGTGTTTCCATCGTTATCTACCACAGTTATTACATCCATCTTCTGTGCGCTTCCACATGAAATAACAACTTTAGATTAATCTAAGGTAAGAATAGTACACCTCAAGTTGATGAATATAATTGGTAATTTAAACGCAGCAGATGTCTCACTTTATTATCATGTATGTATGTCCGTTAAACAGCTTTTAGTAAAGCAGTTGTTGTACATCGATATGGCATTTGCAATTCAATATACATTTTTACAGCATTTACACAGTATTAACTATTTGATATATCTATATGGCTACATTATTACCTATCTTATATATACATAATCGCAGTATTTAATATTTCATATATCTATCATAACAGTATTTACTATTTTAATATATCTATATTGCTACCGTATAATATACTATTTTATATACTATTTTATATAACAACTGTCTTTTTCGAATCCATGTAGTTAGATTTATTCAATTATGTTTCGATAATACTTAAAATATACATATATAAATGAAAAAAATACTCTCACGCATACATAAAACACCCTTAAACAATTATAATTAACATATGTAACGTCTTAAACAATTTAACTTACTTGATGGTATGAAAATCTTAGGATTAGATTTAGAATACCCAGTTTTCCGTCGGACATGTAGATACTGCTGTTTATCATGAACGTATTAAGATCAGTTAAAGATGTTGACCCTTTCAATGAAGTAACTCTAAGGACAGTGTTAAATAGCTCTATCACTGAAATAATCCAGGTAACATCGGTACGATAACGTCTTGCTGTTGATTGGACAAGACGTTGTAAGGGTCCAGTCGGAGTTTTACACATTTGCAAGTAAATTATGAGTGTGTACAGTTTTGGTGACGACAGCAGCCGAACGTTTGTGAAAAAGAGTTCGAGTGGTCGGTAACGATAATGTGAAATAAGCTCATAGCGAGGACACAATATTTGTGGAAAATTGGGAAAAAAAAAGAAACAAAAATATCACATTCAATCACTTGTAGATGGTAGAGATATTTATTCTGAAATATATAAACTGTATGTGATAATAAATACTTAAAATAAAATTCCATCACAGAAGTTTCTAGTCATGTTAAAGTTGTAATACTGTAATGTAAGAGCAAGCAAATTATCAAATATTCACCACATTTTCATTAACAGGTGTTTTGACTTACCCTCTCTCAATAACCGTGTATCTACAGAACGTTGCACTGTTACTTTAAAAGACTTTATTACTTCTGCTGAAGATAACTAAGTCATAAGCTGAATAAATATTCTTGTCATTGACCTTGAGGTAAAGGTCAAAGTGACCCAAAAGAACGGTACTGCATATCACATTCAAGTGATAAAGGTGTTCATCAACTTTCATTAAGATATTTGAAAATAGTATAGATGTAATTGCCTGAACAAGAAACTAACAAAAGATCCAGGATTACTTTTACTAAAACAATATTTTCCCTTCACTGATTTCAAGAGAAGACATAATCAAAAATATCCAGAGAGTGAAAATAAACTATATGAAACTAAGTATCATAGAAAGCAAAAGGTCAAAGAGCGTAATGGTCATCTTAGTATAGTCATACCAAAATATATGAAACTGTTCTGTAATTCTATTGTGGTTTAGATAATACAAATTTTCAGTTCAAATTAATCACAGCAATATCAATGTTTTGCAGATGGCTTGTGGTACAAGATAAAGGATCACAAATGCAGTTGCAAGCTGGCCAGGATCAGTCCATAATGCCAGAATCTTCAGGGGTCGAATATATGTTTCAATTTGAAAAATGGTAAATCCAGTAAATCAAATGATTTAGTTCTTCATAATAAATCCATAATGCCAGAATCTTCAGGGGTCGAATATATGTTTCAATTTGAAAAATGGTAAGTAAATCCAGTTCATAAACGATACAAATGATTTACCGTTCTCGTACATAATAAATCTTAAGTTAAAAGTTATTTTTGATGTAAAATCGAGATTATCAAAAACTGCATTGGTGATTACTAGGAATGACAATCTGAGACGTAGTGTAACGGTATATCTACAACATGGTTAGCATATTTTTTATTCATTCTTTATTTAAATACTACAAAGTTGTTCATTCTGGCATCTTCACTCAAATCCACTCATCTAACTGCTGATACTGCAATGTTATTCTATTGGTTGACGAGTTGAGCCTATTAAAGATGTCACAGTAACATTGGCCTGTGCTGTTTTGCACAATATTGGGATTGCCAGAAATGACATTGAAGGCCTTCCTGAAGAAGATGAGAGTGGATTGTATTCCCATTGTCCCTCGCGTTTTGAAAATTTAAGGGAAAAATATGTAAGAACATACCGTTGAGTGTAAATTAATCTTTTCATCCTAGTGCACTACTAGCGCACGCGATAAAGACTAAAAGTTCACACGAAAAAGATTACAGGTGCACAAAACCAACACAGGTGATACCACAATTTCCCGTACAGATGAATGGGCCGTTCCAGAGCTACTTCAGCAACCAGAATACCTCATCTGATGAAACCCAACAGGTAAAGTAGCCATTTCATCAGCAGGGGTCTTAGTGCACTTCTAGTTTACATGTA